AGCTGCCCGCGCTCCCTGCGAGCGTGGGCTGCCCGACACGTTTTGTGAGTTGTTAGAGGAGGAGGAGAGGGAGGAAAGCAGAACAAAAAGATGTGGTTTGGGGCAGCTGGGTTGCTCTGCGATGGGGCGCGCAGCCGGGTCGGCGGGAGCCGCAGGTCATGGTGAACGTCTCCAGTTTGCTCTGGAGTTGTGGAATAGGAGAGCCCCTAAAGCCGAGCTAGGCACTGCTGATAATGCAGGATAGCCCGAGGTGAAAAGAAAATGAGGAAAGGAAATAGGCGTTACAGACGGCGTGCAGCTAGAAGGGGAACTCACTGCTGCAGGATATTGCTGAAGCCAAAACCTCAGCGAGACGCAAAGAGGGACAAGATGGTGACGCCGGGGAGAGAGCAGCAGTGGGAATGCTAATGATGGGAAAAGGGCTGAAAAGGCAAAAACACTCCCCCCAACCATTCCTCAAAGACAGGAGGAAGTCAAACATGGGGATAGGTTATCCCAGGCAGAGGATCTGTCCCGGCTGGTGACATCCGTGGTAAGAGGGATAACCACGGCCTCTGGATGCTGTCTCTGCACTGACACGGTACCTGCTTCACCAAATAAACCAGTGTTTCCTAGCACGAGCAGGGGCACTCAAGCTCTCCCAATAAATCCTCCTAGCAGATTAGGAAGGCTATTAAATCCCTCGTGAAGAGATTTGGTTTCAAAAGAGCAAGAGCAAAACATAAACTACCACTAAATAAGTCCCAAAAGATAAGATAAACAAGATCTCAAAAGCCCTCTTTGCTCCTCAYGGCCAAAAAGGTGTCATTTCTCCAGATGACACTTCTCCAGAGACAGGTCCTAAAGTCTTGTTTTCACTGGTGAACAAATGAACATCCCAAAATATGGATGCCTCATGCCTCGCCCATGCACTGATGGGTGCAAGTGCTACACGTTTGTTGTATTTTAACTCTGGGATCAGTTCCTACCGGCTCAGAAGAGATTTTGTGCTGGATCCCAGCCTAAATCAGGGGCAGGGTGGAGTTTCACTCTTATATTTCCTCTCTGTCCTCACCCAAGGGAAAGCTTGTGCTAAGCRCTTAGTGCATGCCATGGTGTCCCCAGCCCCAGTTGCTCGCTCCTACTACAAGCCCTTGGCTGAGACTCGTCAGGGCAGAGGGCTGCAGATGCGAGCACCTCGGAAGTCCTGCTCCTGTGTGACAGAAAGCCCTAATACTGGTGTTTCACCGTGTCTCTTCTGTCAGCGCGCATCAACCCCATGCATGAACGGAGCTGTCACTCCCTGCAAACTCCCCCGCAGGGCAAGCACTGGGGAAGCCCTTAGCGAGTGCCCGGTGGCCCAATCCTCGGTGCATGAGCCATCTTCCCAGCCCTGTTGCACTGTCTAAGGTCAAACAGGCTGCAGGAGACCCAGGGTGGGAGCTGGATGGAAGCAGAGGTCACAGCGAAGCTCAGTACAGCAGTCACACAGAGCTGAGTGAGGGGCTGGACCCTCATGCCTCTGGGGCCGACCACACAACTTGGACAATCGATTGGTTGTGGAGCTGGCCAGGTCTTGGCCACCCAGAGCCACCCTTTAGACCAGGCCCCCTGCCAAARTGGTGCTTGTAGGACACATCCACTCTCATGGAAGAGCACAAGCCCATGGTGGGGGCAAGATTAAGACTAAGAGTCAGCTGGGACAAACTTCAAGGTCTTCATGAAGAAGCACCATCCTGGCAGAGCAGTTGCAGGAGAAGGCAGGGAGAAGCAGAAAGATGCTACAGGAGAATCCCTCTCTGCTGACAGAGTGGACACTCCTCTGCAAGATGTGTGTGCTGAACCTCTCCATCCGTGGTACATCTTACCCCTTCCTATGCCCAGAATTCGCAGTGTCCACACGCAGACCCCTTGCTGTGTGCAGGAGTCTGGAGCTATCCATCCTCCCAGCTGAGCACACATGACAGTGAAGTCCTACAAGATTCCTCATCCCCAGCCCAGTCTTTATCAACATAGGAGCCCTGGCCAGGACAGGTCTGAGGGAGAGGGACAGGGAGGCTGCCCTGGAATGGTCCAAGCAAACCAAAATATAAACTTGCACACCCACAAGTTTCACAAGCAGACAGACCTCAGCGTTTAAACATGCAAGCTCAAAGCTACTGAAGATACAGAAGCCAATCCAAGCAAGAAACAGCAGCTCAAGGAATACAAGGGCTTGCAGAAACTCTTTTTTTTTTTTTTTCCTGCCAATTAGAGACATCAACAAATGAATGAACCAGACGCCTCGTTTTCAGCGACTCCCCCAGGATTTGCCCCTACCAACAGATCCCCTTACCCCTGCTGGCTGGAAGTGCAGACACTGGGTGCCCAGCTGCRTCTCAGCTCCCGGCGCTCCCCGCTCGCCCTGCTCCACGTGGGGAGGAGAAGGCCAGGCTGGCATTCATAACGGGCGCCGCGCTGAAACTCCCCCGTCTCTCTGCCCACATCATTGGTCCAGGTCGCAGCRGCGGCTGCTTTCAAATTCTGCTAAGCCTTAAAAAGGAAACAGGAAGCTTCTCAGCTCTTGACTTCATGCAGTTCATGAGGCTCCTGCACACACACACGCTCCTTCCTACCCCAAAGCATCTGCAGGCAGCTGCTTGCAGGAGGAGGCAGCCAGGGGCTCCAGGTCCATGCCCTGCTGCTCAAAACTCCCCTGAGCTTGGACAACCCCCTAGCTTGTCAGGTAGGACACAGATACTTTCCTTAGCAAACCTTCAATTCAGGTTTCTCAACTTTTCTGGTGAAATCCAGTATTTTTCTACAGTGTGCTCTTCCCTCCCTTCCACCGTACACCAACGCAACACAAAACAAAATAAAAGATCATCTCATGCAGTCCATCCAGGAGGCCACCAAAGCATTTGTCTTCACAAGACTCAGGGACTGGAGAGCTGGGAAAAGCCTGATTTTATTTCTTCGGGGTATATTTAATGCTTCACACTTCTCCAGKTCAGAAGGAAGAAAATAAGCTCCTCAAGCTATGAACACGAGCTTATGCACCCAGGAGGCCACAAGAACATCTTCTGCAGCTTTCCTAAGCCCTTTACCACCAATCGAGATTGCATACACTGAGGACCAAAAGCAACTATTAGCCCTTTATCTTTTCCCCATAGCAATATAAAGCTCCTATCAGAGAGTCACCGAGCAAGACTGCTTAAGGCAAAACCAAAATAAGCTCCTTTGAGCTCTTGCTCCCAAATCTTTGCCTCCTAAAGTGGGTTTATTGAAGCTGTGGGCTCTGTACGCAGGCAAAGATATCAAAAGTGCCTTGTAYTTTCGACAGAGCTTGGTCTTTCCCACGCTTAACAGGTCTGTGAAGCTTTTATCCTTATTGGCCCTGGGTTGGACTGCAACCCACCCTCCCCGGCCACAGCAAGGGACAACCAAGGGCGCTGTGGCTTTCCAAACCTGTGTCTAGCTCTAAACGTCACCCAAGCAGAAGGCTCGAGGTGCACCCATGGGCTGACGAACAGCCAACAMCACCCTCGGGGCAGCACAGGTGACAGTGGCCCGATACAGGGGCTGTGAAACTCCTGGGCTGTGTGGCAAGGTCTCATGATGCCACGTGCCACAAGGGGCTTTGCCATACTTCTCTGAGCAAACGGTTTTATTTCATTCACACAGCAAAGCAAAGGCCTTTGCAGAGGGCTTGCTTTCTTCCCTGTGTTTCTTTTAGGCAGGGTGGATTTTCCAGYGAGGTTCCGAGTGTCTCCAGCGATGGAGACTCCACATCCTCCCTGGGCAACCTGCTCYAGCACTCAGGCACTCCCAGAGTAAGTAATAGCCCTTAAGACAGACTTCCCCGGGGCTGTTTGTGCCTGTTGCCAATGTCCTTGGGGCCCAGCTGTCCAAGGGGTCCTGCTGGTTGCTCCTGCTCCTTTCCAGAAACTGGAATGCAAATTCTTGCCACTACAAAGTGAAGCATCATCCTACGCACTCAGTGCAGAATGTGCCCCCAGGACACATCTGAGATCTGCTCTTCCACTCACGAGTGTGGAAGGATCAGGCTCATCCTTAAAAATTTGTAGTTTTTTTTTCTACATTTGCTTTTTACATAATCATTCTTTTCTTCCTTCATATATTTGCCCCTTCCCTGCAGTCTTCTGCTTTCCCTGCTTGAGGGTTCAGAAGGGGACCAARTATCTGTGCAAGTCCCCCAGAAGAACATCAAACCTGAAACTTCAGAATAAGCACAGTCTAACAACTTGGCTGTGGCTCCTTTTCTAGTAGTAACTAATTCCACCTCTGGCTGCTTTTATTGGAGTAACTCCACCTGTTTTATGAAAAATTAAGTGCTTTGCCTGCCCAGAACAAATACAGAGCGAGCCCTGTTCCAAGTTCAGCACTCTGGGGAAAGCTCCGGGGAGATACAGACGGCATTGTAGCAGAGATTAAGGAAACGCAAACGAATGCCCAATTATTTAAATAGTCTGTGACTAGTTTCAGTTCTTGCCCAGACATAACGTAACATTGTGGAGGCAGGTGTTTTCTCAGCAGCCACTGACTAATTGCAGAACAAAGATTAGAGAGAGAAAAAAAAACACTTAAGAAGACATAATAAGAAAAAAAAAAAGACATAAACAGTGCAATAGTGAGTATGTGGCAGAAGAGTCAGAGCAGAACAATTTATATTTACAGAGAAAACACTTACGCAAGGGGTACCCAGTAGCCCGAGACAGAAAAGTCCCGTGAACGAGATGGAAAGCTCACACCAGTTCTTGAAAGGCATTACCTGGCACAAGCCGAGCAGCGGGGCTGGCAGCTCACTTGCTTTTCCTCCAGGGTATCAGGCTGGAAAGGAAAGTTCGGCTTCCTCGGGGCTGCCCATCTTCTAAACCCTGCACTACCTCATAGGAGCAGATTTAGAGACACCACAGGCAAAGATGTTATAAAAACAAGGAAATTAYGTGGTTCCCAGCCAAGGTCTTTTCAAAATTCACCACAAAAAAACAAGTTTTTTGTAAATAAGTTTTAATAACAAAAGTAAATTTATTATTAGTTCGCTTTTACACATTTCTTCTCTCATTKTAACAAWTTATAAATAACTCCTGCTCACAGTCAACACGTCTAGGGGCAAGTTTGAAGTTTTTGTTGTTCGGGAAGTTACAAAATTAAAGCACATTTTCTCTCTCTTTCAAAGAATACGAATCAATGCACGGCTGGCTCTGTTGTTCAGTCTCTGCCTGTGAAATGAGTGCCACGAGCTTCTACGCTGGCGTAACTACAGCACCATGGACTGTGGATTTCTAAGCAGCAGAGGAGCGAGCCTCAGCAGCGCACGAACGGGCATGTTCAACTGCTTGAACTTCAAAAGCAGCTCAGAGAAGTTCGTACTTCCTAAAGGGACGACAGAAAAACAAAAGGATTACATATTGGTGTTGCATATGCCCAGGAAGTGAGTTTCAATAGAGCATACAGAGTCAGCCAGTGTTCAGGTCTGCATTTCAGGTCCCGTTTGCACAAAGAGATGTGTTCCTTACCACACGTTTCGTTGCAAACACTGTATTCATGGAAGTTTTGCTGCCTAGCCAAGCACAATTGAAAAAGGAAGCCCAAATTTGTTTAGCACAGCAGGAACTCCCAGAATAAAGGCTAATAAAAGATACAGAAGACATTGCAAAATAGCACTGAGGTCTTCTGGCCTGTATAGATGCCTGACCTAAAAATATCCAAGAAAAGCCCAAGGCAGCACGGCCTGCACAGTCTCCCAGGCCAGAGGGCTGTGGCCTCTCATAAGGCTTCAGCAATAGATTGCTCTTGTTCACCACTGAGGTAGTAACATTCATTTCACACCCCTTAGGAAGCCACAGAGTTCCCCAAATCAAAGCATAGCTGCATTGCTTCTACAACCTGAGAAAAAAAAGTCAGTTCTTAGGTGAGTAAACAAGGAGCTGAATATTCTTAGGCTGGGCTGATAAAAGGCAAAAGAAAAGCTGCCAACTGGAAGGGCTCAGAAGCATCACTGTTTCCAGACCAGGGGACCACTCTAACTCGGTTCTCAAAAAGACTTAAGGACATTCAGTGCAAGGCTAACATAACATAAAGGTTGCTTTCCCCTGCCACAGCTTTTCTCCTCTGGTCCTGTTGCCCTTTAGGARCATTTTTACTCGTAGGTCAGGAACAGGCCAAGATGCTACTTCTCTCTTCTGTTGTTCTACCTAACGCATCCGCCTTACACATCAATACTTACACATATATTGACAAGGAGGAAAGAAAAGAAAATGGAACAGCGTTCAGAGCAGCTGCACATTTCCACATACTGTCCAGGATATACTCCTCTTAACACGCAGCACAAAGGCCCCAAATGTGTGTGCAGGCCCGTGCAGCGTGCCGTGCCACACGCCAGCCCTACCTTCTAAGCCGCCAGCTGCCAGCTGGCTTGGCGTTGGGACGGAGTGGTAAATGAGGAAGCAAGCCAGCATGCTCAGCTGGGATTCCTCCGTAGGCTGCCTGCTCAGGTAGGAATGCAAAGAGATGTCCCCTCCAGCTGTAACATACAAGACAAGTGATGAGGCATTTCACTTAGCTAGAAAAGATGAGATCAATGCCTTCATATACATCTAAATACTCACAAAGAAGCACTCAATTCTGAACAGTACACACTGTAGTACTATTTTCTAACCAAATTGTCTTCCCTTTCAGTTCTAAAAACATTTTTGGTCAGGAATATGGCATGTAATCTTGAGGCTAAAAAGGCAAACAAGTTGTTTTATGCTAACATGCAAGTACTTGGCCTCACGTTATCATTTCACAGTACTTTGAGGTAACAGCRGATCTGGACTGTCAGAAAGAGAAGAATGGTGAATTAAACCCATGGATGGAGTATTAATATTCTCTATACCTTGAAGCCATTGATCCAAAGTGTTATCAATAGTGCACTTCATCACAGGCAGAAATTCAGAGTTCATGAAGAGTCCTCGCTTCGGGTTCCTGTTCATCCTCTCCTGGTGACTCCGAGAACTGAAAAATTCTAACACCAGCTTTATCTGCCACAGTTCAAATGTCTCTGACATTTCTCTCCTTTCCAGTCGCCTCACAGCCTAGCAGAGGGGAAATAAAAACCATTTGTAAGAACGAGAAATACAGGGGGAAACAACTTGATATGAAATATAAAGCAAATGAAGAACAAACTCCAAGTACTCTCCTTCTGAGTAACTGCTGAGAAAAAGTGTCGACTAATGTTTCTTGGATAATTTCAGACTCCATTAATTACATCACACCGTTTTCCAATTTGCTCTATGGTCTCAGCTGTCTCCTTGCAAGCTCATTAACACTTYTATGGCTCTTCCTTCTGCACAAGTGTGTGCAGCTAACAGCCCTGCACTGAAATACAGCTATTAAAATAGTATTTACTTCACCTGATCTATTGCTATGTACGTGGGCAGCATCTCTGGATTTTCTTGAGTAACGCACTCATAAAGAATTGAAGAGAAAAGATCCAGGATTTCCTGTTTCTGATAAAAGACACATGTTTTTACAAAGTGCACATGCTAGGTACAATTTATTACAGGTTCTTACACTGCACACATTTCCTTCCATTAAAGTTAACCCATGCACTGACATTACATAAATTAATGATAGCTAATAATGGTACACAGCTTGCTTTAGTTTCCGTGCTTATTAAAACTAGCTAAGATGTGGATATATTTTACTCCCTCCAGAGAAACTGTTCTCCATGCAAAAAAGAAACAAAAACAAAAACAAATAAGAACACAAAACAAAATAATAATAATAAAAAAAGAAGAGTTTTGCTATGATTTCACCTAAATACTGCAGGACACTAAACAGAGCTCTTAGCATTCATTAAACACATTTTACAATGAATACAACTAGTGTATTTTCTAACACAACTAGCAGAAACCATGATGTAAGCAAGGGAAAAAAAAACACCACTGTTTTGCCTCTTTTGCATTACAGAATGTCCCTTACAATATTCCCCGTTCCCACTATTTGAAGGAATATATTACTGAGCTCTGCTCTTTCTGGTTTAACATAAGATTTTCCTACTTTTTAATTAATGAAAACAAGAAAYCATGTTAGTCCACCTCTAGGCATCATACCTGGCCCATGTTCACAGTCGGTTTGCAGAAATAGTCAGCAAATGAAAACAGAGCAGGATCGGAAGTGAAAGCTGAAATCGCTTCTGGCTAAAAAAAAAACGGATTAAAACATACTCTTAAAATGTACTTTTTGGTTTTACTGCACAAACGAAATAGCAATTTGTACCTGCTCTTTTTTTTCCCCAGCATACACATGAAAACATTGCAACCTACACAAAACACAGCACGGGCAAAATCACCCAACACTTGTGCCTGTCCACAGCAAACGCAYGTGCACGCGGTGGCTCTGGGCCCAAACTCATCCCACAGGCCATGAAAACCCACCAGGCCTCCCTCCCCTGAAGCCCAGTAGATAACTTCAATACTCACAACCCTGTGGCAGGGCTGAAAAACGCCGTGTCAGCTGCAGTGCACCACGTAATCATTCCCGAGCTGCCATTCCCAGCTCCCTGCCTGTCCTTGGGGGCACCTCCCTTCGTTCCTAAAGCTCTTTTTACCAAAGATTTACCAGCATTTGCTGCTCTATATCATGCTGCCTGCGTAAGCAGAGGTCTCACTGCTGCTCTGCTCCACCTAGGAAATTGGTTTGGCAGCAGTACCTTGAACGCCCGAGCCTCGGAGTTCCGGTGAGTGACGGTCTGTGCCAGGAGGCTGCGCCAGCCCATCGGGTCCTCCTTGTACGAGAGCTGCCCAGCTCGCAGCTTCACATACAGGACACCCCCCTTGGAAAGAATCGACCTGGAATAAGAGCAGATATGCTTATTTCACACTGGTACTTATAGACAGCGAGGCAGACCTGTAGAAGATACATGTATGCAACAGCTATATGTGATAATATCCCTTGCCCTGATGGCTTGGACTCTGTTCAACAGGTATATGCATARAAACCTTGCTTTCTTCTGGGGCAGGTTGCTCTCAAAAGATGATGTGGTGGCAGGCAAACAAATGGGAAAAAGAGGCAAGTCATCCTGATACAAGGAATATAAGGGACAGCAGGTTCTCGCTAGATTGCTAAAGGATGAGCTCCCAGCACCAAGGACAAGCACATAACCTGTACAAGTATCCACAGCTCTAAGGGCAAGCTGGCATGGTGAAGAGGTCCTTCCTCAATGCCAAAAAATCCCCTGACATCCTACCAACAGAAGTGTGCAACAGTTTAAAGTTGCACCCCTGCAAAACAGCTGCATGTTTTATCTGATTTAAAACAGTAACAGCTGTGCAAGTAACTTCAGGCCCATGGGCGTCCTTAAAAGACATACGTTACCTATACTGAAACTGGCTACTTAGCATAACAATTCACACATAGTAAGAGGGAGAAAAAAATATCCTTCTCCCACACATGGACACATCTTCAAAACATCACCAGAAAGCCAGGTCTCTACCATTTTAAGGGCTACAGATAAGAAAACATATCAGCCTTCTGAGGGCTCCTCTGTCCAAACCCAGCTTTTTTTGGACAAGTCAGTGTAGAAGACTCAATGCAGGAGGAGACAAGTGGGTTTCTGCCAACTGTGGTGTGGTTGATGAATCAGTATGTGCTTTCTGATCCACACCACTCTGCACTCCACAGCAGTTCTCTGCTGGTTGTCYAACAACGTTGTAACGTGCACACAACGCTGCAGTGCTTAATCTAACCTCAACAGTGTCGCTTAAAGCAATTCGAATAATTACATTGCTGATGAAGAATGCAGCTGGCTTCTATACTATTCTCAGTGACAAGTTACACTGTAAGGTGTTAAGCACAAAGGTGAGAATTATTGAAACTATATTCCGGTATGATTTCTGTTTTTCACAGCAGCCCAATGKGAGTTACGGCATTAGTTAACAAGAAATAGGTAGGAGTTTGTATACTTCTTAAAACGCCAGAAAAATGGTATTTCACAAAGCAGTAGCAGCTGAACTCGTGTATCAACAGCCTGGGAAATATGACATCACATCAACTCCACTCAAAACTAAACTAAAACCATGAGTTTAAGGTAGTTTCTGGTACTGCTCAATCCCACTGCCAATACTTGTGGTTTTTACTATCAAGTTTTCCCCCCACCCTGTTTTTACATGAATAATTTACAACAGGTGAAACCAACTACGCAGTTTCTTTCTTCACCGAGCACACAACAGCAAACTGATGAAAACTCAAATTCTTTCCAAACTGCAGGTATTAAAACTACAGGAGATTTTTTGTTTAAAGAACAAAATACAAAATTAAATCAAGAAAAAAAAACCCTCCAACAATACAAGAAAAACAAAAATAAAACCAATCCCAACAACCAAAACATTCAACAAGTAGTATAAAAAATACTTACTTGAGRTGGTGTGTTCCCTTGCTTAAATCTATTAATAATTCCCAGTACCGAGGTCCCTTCACTCTGATCTGTCAAYGTAAGCACTTTYATTACTAGATATAACCAGAATCATYAAATCAAGAGTTTTCTAGATAAGTCTAAAGCTCTTTCCATGCATTCAGAAGGGCAGGTGCCTCCCTGCAGTACTACCTGCCCTGCAAATCTGGAGGGAACAGAACTCAGCTTTGTTTCTCCCACAGGGAAGTTCGAAAGAGAGAATTCCCTGCTACATCAGATCTTAAAAGCACGACAGTGAAATAAAGGGAGCAGTGCATGGAAAAATATCCTGTGTATTCCATAGCAATGGAAATGTCCTCAAAGCTGTCACAGTAGCAGAGAGTTCCCAGAGTCTGGCTAAGGTTTAACATGGATTTGTCTGAGGTTAGGCAGGGAATCTAAGAAAAATCCCTTAKGTCTCCCTCTCTGTCCTTGCAGCGAGTGTGGCACAGAAGCTGGACAATTAAATTTCTCATTAGAGTGCAGACTTGCTTTACCTGCTTCAGTAAGTGAAGCTCTGGAAGAAGGGTGGGTGCCATCAATTCCTCCGTGGCTTCTGCATACCACTGCGTGCCCTTTAAAAAGCCACCAATGTCCACATATTAGCAAATCTCATTTCAATGCAAAGAAAAAGAAAACACACAGCTTATTTACAATGATTAAGTTGGCCCAAGTCAGCGAGTTTCTACTTCTGGGTTCTGGTTAAATAACACGGACGGTTTGGGGCAGAATTAGGGAAAGGCTGTTAAACCCACTGCCAGTCCCAACCATCTCTGKGCCTTTGAAACGCTCCCCCTCTTCAGAAAGAGGAGAACTGTGACACTGGCTCTGTTTTCACACAATTGAAGAATTTGTGGTGCCTTTTACTTGTCCCACGTTCAATGTACAAGTAATGCACAAGTGAGCTGAGCACAACCCTTTGACTACTTGCCAACAGAGTTAACTCGYCTCCAGCACAACTTAAACATAAACCCTACAGTGCTTGTCACAACGATGAACACTGCAAGTTTTCTGTATATCAGCATTTTTGGTTGTCTCCCACACCTTCTCCAAGGCCTTCTCTCTTTTCCCCCCTCCCAGWCAAATTACCTTGTATGTAACCTCTATCAGTGCATAGCAAGGAGTGTTTGAATCCACATCAACAGGGGTCAAGAGCCTGGGTTCTGCTGCCAGCACGTACAAGTGACGCAAGGCCTGGAGATGGTACCTGCAGGGCGGGAAACAAGGAATTCAGAATCTTTGTATATCAACAGGCACACAGCTCAAATACAGTTGCCAAACAAGCTAGAAGGAAATCTGTAGTAATGTAGCAGTAGGAAACCCTTACCGGTTGTCTGTGCTGTGAACAGGGAAATGAGGGTACAATGCACAAAGGAGAGCAGCAATGGAAGAGTTCGAGGTGCTCAGCGAGTATCTGCAGGAAAAAAACCCATTTTTTGTCAGTTTTCAGTGCTAACAACTGCTAGCAACTCTACCACGGGTGTTCAAAATACTTCAGCGTCCCACAGGAGGGAAGGACAGAAGTGCAGGAATGCAATGGATTTCCAAATGCCTTCCTACAGTAGGAAAAACCAACATGAAGTGGGGGGAAATGAACACAAATGAATTTAGAATGTTTCTACATTCCCATGCCATTTTTTAAGTAATATAGCATCTAGAAGGCAATAAGATTTGCATTTTCAAAAATAAAATAAAATAAAATGTTTAGATCTTCCAGACACTGGGGACAGTTTCCAAGCTACCACACACAGAGTCACACTGAGTGTTTTTTTTTAAAGCCTGGATAAAAGGCAATTTATTTTGGCATCAGTGTTTGTCTTGTCTGATGTAAAGGGAACAACATGGCAAAAAAGGCAGCACACTTAAAATGGTAACAATCCTAGCAGATGAGCGTGCCTATATATAATGTGGATGATGGAAAAGTCATGTCAGCATCAAGGAGAGATGGCAGAAGTAGCTGCCAAATTCTCACTTTCACTAACCCATGAAGAATGAAATGTCCCATATTCTTTGATTGCATCCCCTGGAAGTAAAAGGCTCTGTTCCAGTCAATGGAAAGCCAAAAGAAAGGAATCCAGCGCCAGAGAAAAGGCCAACAGAAAAATTCGTATTACATGAGCTATCCGTCATGTAGCTCTGTAAAGCTTTGGGCTAGAGTATGTATTTAAAGAGAATAACCAGAACAAAGAATTAAGTGCTGGAGTCTGACAGAGCGCTTAAAAGGGAGCAAGTGATGAGCATCRAGACACAGGGCGAGGAAAAAAGAAAGATGAGAATGAAGCAAATTAATCTTTCTAGAAAAGAATGCCTGGAAGAATTGTTTTTCCTTACTTAATAAGTAGTATCAGGTCACTCTGATGGAAAGGGAGGCTAAAAGAAGGAGTAATTTAGACAGATGGAAAAACTTTWAAAATGAAAAGATGAAAAAATTAAAGATGAAAAAACTTAAGCAGGAGGAAAGAGATCTTTCTCAGGYTGGACCCAAGCACAGCTCCTCCTCCCAATCCCAACACTGGATAGCTGCCACGCTCTCCTGGTATATTTATGCACGCTGCTTTAAAGCACTGCACTTACTAGACTGTTGTGGCTTTATCCTCCTCTACTCTGTTATATACAAAATATTCAAATGATAGTAACTACTAAAACCTGATCCAAAACTGCTGCRTGCACAAGCTGAGCTCTGACAAAAAAACAGGCTGTTAATAGTGGTGGCAGTTTCTGCTGTTTGTGTCATCCGCTTTCTAAATTCCAAGAGACTATCCAGTCTCCAGGAGTCCAAATATGAGGAGGTTCACCCTGCAAACATTATTAAACATGAGATGACAAATAAAAGATCAAACAGATGAGACTAAGTTATTGAAAGCAGTAAATGTAGGTATGAGTACAGGAAAAGAGGAAAAAAAAATCCCCTGGACCGTAAGCAGAGTCATGCAAGTCCTTCTTCTCCAGGAATGTCTCTGTTATTTGCCYATAATGTCTTTGTTATTTGCTCCAATTTCCAGTTTGGAAGTAGGAAAAATGCAAGACGAAAAAGCACCATCTTTGAAAACRGCAAGTTACCTTCCTCCTCCCAGAAAGAGGAGCCCCAAAGCCATGTGGTGAGCCAGGTGGAAGCCGTAATTCATCTCTCCACCTGTCTTCTTGTGCATGAAGCGGCAAAGCTGAAGGACTTTCAGGTTTCCAGAGCCAGCCATGACCATGGCGAGAGACAGCAACAAGACGCTCAAACATGTTTCGAGATTATAATGACCTGTCTTCAAGCAGATGAGCAGAAAAAAGAGTTGTCATCCTTCTGTGGTCAAATACATGTCAGACCCAGTATGTTATTCTCTACCCTAGAGTTCAAAAAACCACATTCCACAGACACAGGGAGAGTGGAGAACCAAAGTCCTTCACAAAAATGATTCCCCGCCCTGTCACACTCTATAAATACATCTGGTAAAACAGAAAAGTAAAAGGCATGTTTTTATTTGTGTTAAGGCTTCAGTGAGAATAGAAGTATATCACATAACAGAGCCTCCTTTGCCTTGAACTTTCAAAGAACTTCAACAAACTTACTATTGAAGCTGTTGGTGCTGACAAACACTTCAGGAAATCTGTTGCATATTTGTACTGTAGAGAGAAGAAATACATATTAAATAGAGATACAAAGCACAGATTACAACTCTATAGGAAATCAAAGGTGAAAAAAGCACAAAAACCTCTTACCAAGCACTTAAATGCGGCCAGATTTTCTGAACCAGCAAACCGAAATCCCAGTGACAAACACGCACCAGCAATGATGTAGACATGAGCTTGCCTAATAAGCAACATAAACAGGAAATGAGTGATTCTCTTTTCCTAATCTGAATAAGCATCACAAATTCTCGACTACATAAAAAAGTCTCCTCCTCAAAAGAAAGCTGAGAACAAAATTCCACAAGTATCAAGGGACAGACCTTCTTTGCATATTAATATCTCTAGTTAGAGATACCAATTAGAGATAACAGTATCCCTAATTTAGCTGCATGCTCCCGAAGTAAAATTTGGCTTTGTGCAATCTTCCTCTCTAGCTGTGACTGATCTTTACACATGCTACTTACACCAGGGTCTCCAAACTCAGGTCTTCAGATGAAGGGAGCTCTGTTGCATTAAGGGATATACTATTCTCTCTTATGATCTGTAAAAAGCATAAGAGGTAGAAAAATTAATCCAGGAGACCCTCTCCAAACCCTTCTGGGCATCCACGGTTCATAAGTCTTAAAAAAAAAAAAAAAAGGTCTGTTTCATAGGTTTATAAAAGTTAACTTTTTTTTTTCCTCACTAGCTATTGCTTCATCACACTTCTGATCCAAAAGGGATGCTTTTCAGTGCTCACATATCTGGTTTCTTAAAGACTTGGCAAAAAACAGGCAGTGGCAAGACTGTGTCAGAACACAATATCCCTGCATGCACTCAAAACCAAAGCAGGTAACTTTAGGTCATCTAACTTGTTATAAAAAAAAAAACCCAGTGGTGCCAAGTCCATGTTCTAAGCAAGATATCTTGGAGGACTGTTGATCTTATTGTTAGACAATTACTTCTAATGCACAACTGCAACCTCCCTGCAGCAGCTTGGCATGTGGCTTCTGGTCACGTGGATGTGCAGAAAGATTTAATCCCTTTCTCTTTCTAACATTTTGTCTTTTAGAGTTCTTTCTCTCCCCAATTCTCTCTCTTCTAGKGCTAGAGCATCATGACGCTTTACAAAGAGACCTACACTTCCATCATGGTCCAAGAGATCCAGTGCAACACTCACCAACACCATAGGAAGGGAACTCTGGAAGTCTGCAGTCCAAGCCCCTGCCCAAAGCAGGGCACCTTCAAAGGTGTATCAGGGTTTCCTCAGGGACTTATCCTGTTTAGATCTGCATATCCTCAAAGGCAAGGAGCACACAGGCTCTTTAGGCTCCTCTTTTACTATCCAATTACTCACACTGTGAATTTTTTTTGACCTTATATATCAAATCAGAAATTCTCATGTTGTAAGTTTGTGTCCATTTACCTTCACTCCTACTGCCTCTTTTTTTCCAATGGCCCATCAAGTTTTATTCAGCCTGTCAAGACTTGTTTGTAAAAACAGACCTCTTGGTCCAGCCTTTGGTCTCTCCTACATCATATCAAGTTTCATATAGCAAAGAAATATTATAAATTAATATGTGTTTTTTTGTGAAGCTCAGAGGACAATGGAGATGCTCACGTGTGTAGCAATATAGCGAGAGGTAAAAATGGGAAGAAAACACATTAAGCCTAAATACCTACTTGAGGCACATTGCTGTCAACCCACTTGGAATTGGGCAAGATGTCATCCCACAAAATGAGGCATCGGGCCAAGGTCTAGAAGGGTCAAAAAGTAAGGAAAGAAAAGTCAAAATGCAAGGAWAGAAAAAAGTATATAATGAATTTCCCTGCCCTCCCCCCTTCCCTTAACCACAATAAATGCATCCAGAAAGAAGAAGAGAAAACCTAGCTACACCCYAGGTAGCTCCTTCATTGCTTCCAGCCTTCATATCAGAAGGAACAGAAACTCAAATTTTGCTTTATGAAACTCAAATCCTGTTTGCAGACAAAAGAACCATAGAATACATTTTGTGCACTATATGATTAGCTAGTATATTTACCTGAAAGTAAGGCATATACTTGTAACAGATGGTGAGGCCTGCCTGTATTTTTTAATATCTGAAGTTCATTCAAAAAAAGCTACAGAAGTTTACTTAAGCTGTTCAAATTAATTTAGGACTCCTAACAAAACGAATCATTCAAGTATCTCTCACCAAATTCTGTCTCTAGGGCTGCATGACCATCAAACTGCCCTAGTACAAGCAGAGATTTGTTTGAAGGTCTCAGCTCAGCAGGCCTTTCTGAGTTACCAGATAGCTAAGGTCTTCTACGTGACAGAGGCACATTGAATTTTAAGGTGCATTTTTAGTGTTGTCAAATAGACTGGGAAATGAAACGAGAAATTCTTACTCTCAATAAAAGGAACTCTGGCTTGACAAAGTCCAGCAGATACATCGTGTCTGGTGCTTGAAGCCAATCAGCAATGGATCTGCAGAGCACAGTTAAGGAACAGGGTTTACAGGTCATCTGATGGGGCAACAAAACTGCCCGAGTCACACAAGGCAGGGCCAACATTGCTGCAGTTTAAACATTTATCACTAATTAGTACCAAAAAAAAAAAAAAAAAAGCAGATTAATTCCAAGGTTAATACCTGTTGTTAGTCTTTAGATAGATCATGGCAAGCGCGAGCGTGGCACCTGGGCAAGTGACATCCACGTTTATGGTATCTCCTTCCTGTGAAAATACAGCCACTTTCAGAACCAGGAATGCAGCATCATTCAAAATTCCTACGGTGCTCTGATATACTGATCCACTGGAGACTTCTAAGACATCCTTACTTTCCATTTAAGTGAGCAAGAATGATACGAACAGTTAAAATAYGTACCTTAATTTGATAACTGGGAGACTTGTGCTTCTCTCTGTGCATTCCTGCTTGGAAGCGCCGGTGACCTCCAACCATGTACTGGTAAAGCTGCTCAGGAACATTGAGGTCTGACATGCCTATCAAATTACTGCCATGCTAAAGAAGGAAGAGGAGAAGAAATAAGAAGAAAGTGCCTTTCTACACAACTAAACAACAAAGAAAGAAGTGCCTTCATCCAAAGGATGAATTCCAAAGGAAACAATTCTCAGCACCCCCATCCCAACATATAATGATTCTTCAAATAACTGCGATTTCAACAACAGCAACAACAAAAGGAGGCACTTACCCCTAGGCAAACCATGCCTAAAGCGAGCCCAGAGGCGAGTGAATAGGACTCTCTGTCTGTGCAGTACTCCATTTCTGGTCCCGGGGGACGTCCTTGAGAAAACAGAATGGTGACATTCATCTTCTAAAATCCCAGCTAAATGAACATGGCTTAACATCACATTTCTAATGGAATGGGGAAAATAAAAGTCACTTAGAAAAAGAAACAAAAGGAAAGCCCTCTCTAAAATAATAATTATTAAGCTGTCACTACATGATAAAGCCTCCCAGAAGCAGTCTGTATTACCAAATGATATGTTGCTTGTAGACCAACTGGGAACGCCATACCATAATTATATATATTGTGAAGGTATTTACAAAYGTTGACCATGGTGTTCAAAAGCTGTAGCCAGAAAATGCTGCATACAGCMAACTGCTAAAAACGTAACAGGTACAATTTTATCCCTAAAATTTGTCTCTGAAGAGCTGCCTATAAACACAAATTAAAAGTTAACTGTTGAAAATAAGATCAGAGCAGCTACACAGAAGACTGATGATCAGAAGTTCCTGCTCAAAAGCATCTATAAGAGAGAGCTGTTTCGAACTCCTTAACCACACAATTTGAAACAGGAGATGTGAAGAAACGATGGCTCCATTTCCACCAACTTAGCGCCCAAAAAGACCGTCCATAAGGACACAGGCTTTTCTTTTTCCCCATCCAGCGCTTCAGTCTCTAGTTTCTACCAGGACTATTCCTTTGGGAACAAACAGGAATAACAATGTCTGGAAAGTGCCAGCTTCATCAGGTGTATGCTATGCAATAGATCTGCTCAGGTGCTGCAGAGGGTCAGGATTTCCAAAAATGTGGCATTCAAGCCAGGAGGAACACGTTACTACTGTAGATCATTCAACAAACCACTGGCAACCCCAGGCCCCTTCTACCTGGATAAAATTTCCACATGCTAAAGGTACATAAGGTACATAAAGGTACAGGTCCAGTCTTGCTGCTCTTACTATATTTCTGCTAATTCAGAGAGCGCTGTCTGTGCTACGGGACATCATTCCCAGTCACATCTATCCTAGTGAAGAGCACAGAGTAGGCCTTGGCAAACGAGAGGTGAATAGTGCAGTGGTAGAGCACATCTTCCAGAAAACAGGCATTAATTTTGCCATGTCACTGCTGCTCCGTGTAAAACATGCAGCGTTGTGCGTCTCCTCCTGCCTTCACCCCGTTTTCCCCACGTTTGCAGTTACCTATTTCAGCCAGCAGAACCTCAGCCATGTGCCTGTGAGCGGTGCCTTGATAAACCAGGCCTATTCCTATGACAGCAGCCACCTGCACGTTGTGGGGGACGTCCAGCTCCGTTGAAGTTGGTGGCAGCAGGGCAGGGATGTGGATGCTCAGGAGGCGCGTTATGGCCATGTCCATGGTGCCCAGCTTGGCAGCAGAAACACCGAGCAGCAGCCCAATACTTGTCATCTCGTGGCCCTGTGATAATAAACGAGGATCCGTGAGGAAAGGAGGCAGGGGATGTTCAGAAAGGGAAAAATGCTTTTCCCGGATGAAATTTAAGTCTGGCATTCTCAAATATACCCAGTGGTTTAGCTTTTTGAATCCATCTCTTGAGGAACACAAATGCAAAGGTATTTTCCACATTTACACTCCTGTTAAGAGGCAGACTTAATCCAAATGGAAATTCTTACACAGTGAAATGCTAAGCATGATTATAATGGGGACTTTTGGTTCCTCCCCCCAAAAAGAYATGTTTTAAAAATAAAATTTAAACTTTTAAAGGTCATCACCACCCTAGCAGTCCATTTTCAGTCCTTCCCTCCCACCAAGCCTGATATCATGTTCGCTGATCTTTACAGTTGAAAACAGCTAGAAAATTAATCATTTTTTAGAGTTTAATTGGGATTTCACAAACACAAAGGGTTGAAAATCATATAAAACAAACTCCACAAAATCCTGAGGGGCTAGCTCCCATTCTGGACCGCAGAAAGACTAACTGGTGAACCTTTTGATACAGAACGAGCAGAGGTAAATTCACCTGCCACAAGTTGCTGTGCATCAACAGAGCACAGAAAGATCCAGTGACAAAACTGCTGCAAGACTCTTAAACAGAAATAAAAGTCACACACTGACATTAACGAAGTGACTGAGAGCTGCCCATACCAGGAAACTYCCAATCCACTGTTTCAAAGCAGACTGCTGCCTTTTTAATGTTTAAGCAGTTGAAGTCCCACAGATACTTGTGTTGCACGCGAGAGGAGGCCTCACCTTTGTTAAGTAGTCGTGAATATTGAGCGTGGCAAGTTTTGTGAGATGCCCGTTTAGCCCCAGGGCCATGAGGAAGCCTGCGTATTCGTTGGCTAACTCGGCGATTTTGGGCTTGTTATAGACGATCCAGGCAGAATCTATCTGGGAGGCAGGTGCTATCTTCAGCCCAGCAGCCACCCCGTTGTGGAAGCTGGCCCAGCAAGCCATGTTTGGAGGAACGTCGATGTTGCCGCTGTTGAGATCAACCGTGGTGTTCCTAGGAGGAGCACGGCCTGCCCAAGAGAGAACCAGTAAAAACGATTAAACTACAAAGAYGGAACAGCAAAGGAATAACTCAGCTTAGCAGTGTGCTCTTGCTATCCAAGTGGAACAATATTAAAACGAAAACACTAATGGTCATCCAAAGAACTTCTGAAAAAGCTCTGAACTTCAGCAGAATCAGACGCTGACATCGTGTTATGTAACATGTCTATTCTGAAGACAATCATAGGTATCTTCAGACATGCCAGATGACAGAAGCACAGTAGATGAGATAAAACAGCAGTTGAAATTTGGTAGTATCCATGTCCTGTATGTCCTTGGGCAACTTTCCCCACTCACCTCTCCCTCTCAAAATGTAGCTCACATAGTATCTTAGTGGTAGATAACAGCACTGGCCTTAACTATTGCGAGACAATAAACAAGCAGGCGCCAAATATAAAACTAACAAAAAAGTGCTACTTCATCACATAAGACACACTTAAGCTATGGAACACTGCATAAACTACATGTCTTGCAAAAAACCCACACAAGATGCTAGATAGAAGAGAGAATACAAAAAGCAATGGGATAACTGCTGAAAGAAATTCCCTCATAGTCTGTGAAATGCAAAAATAGCCCTGGGGGCACAAGTCACTGGCTTTTGAAAGAATCTATGAGGGTAGCATCACTGTTGCTTGTTCTGCATCTTCYCTTGGCAGTTATCAGATGGGACACTGGGACATTGGCCCCAGTCTCCCATCTGGCTCCCAGGAAGCCCGAGGACCACAAATTCAGACTATAAGAGGACCAAGAAAAGACTGGGAGCATCTGGAAAGAATAAGGGGAAAGGAATCAAGCTTGGGAGAAAACGGGCAGAAAAAGAATGTGACCCTCTAGCACATGTTTTCTTCAGAGCCTGAAGCAGAGCTCTCTTTTCCTAAAGCCTCRCTGTTCCCCTGCTGTCAGGAAACACTTGTGAAACCCACTAGCCAAATTCCCCCTTTCTTCTCTGCGTAGTCCCGAAGGACAACAGCTTTCTGCTACAATTAATTTTATCTGTTGCTGCAGTGAATTCAACTGGCAGTATCTTGCGTGATGACTGCACAAGTTCCAATGCAAGAAGTCCTTGTCTGCAAAAGCACGTGCAGCTGCAAATTTGCATTTGGAGACACATTYTAGGAACTACTCGCTCTCTTTAATTACATTACTTACATTAACAAAGACAATCCAATTAGCAAAGAACGCTTTGAGAAGGGCATTACATATCCAGCAAAGCAGATGCATTACCAACAGGCAAATCTTGCAGCTTCAACGAAGCAAACCCCGAGGAAAATGCTGAGCACCGTACCAGTTAGATTCAGTTTGGGGATGGGCAGTTGCTCTGTTGGGACAGGATGGTAGGAGAACAAGGTAAACATTCCTCGCCCGACGGGAAGGGCCATCGTTCGCTGGCACAGCTGTAACAACCTGTGGGGAGAAGAAACCAAAACAAACTAGTTCTTAATATGGGCAAATACTGCAATACAGAATGAACTTAAAAAACAGGCACCGGAGAGAGTCACTCTCCTAACTCAGAGACAACACATTAATTTCACCTCTTTAGTAGGCTCAACTTGTGAACCTATATCTTCAGTGCTTAAAAAGTTAACCTCAAGGGTATGCTGTAGCTGATAGAGGAAAGCTCCAAAATGCTATTGTTTTTCTTAAAATGAGRTAAGTAAATACACTCTGGACAACTTAACAGCCATAGCAGAGATGAGATGAAAGCAAAAAGCAAAACAAAGCAGACTGTCATATGCAATATGCATATGCAATCTTGCTATGACTAGTGAGCACATTTAGTAATAACCTGTGTACAGAATTAACATGCTTCCAGGAATGTCGACCACAATTCTCTACAATTGACTCTGGAAACACTTTCTAGACTTGTTAGATTACTCAGCTTGTTAGGTCAGACAATAACCCACTGTGTTCCCTCAGCTTCCAATTTCTGCAGAGGGTTTTGCATGTTAACACTCTTCTGAAAAATTAGGTTTCGTTCAGAAGATGCTTTTAAGACTCCCAAAAGAAAAAGCTCAATGAACATTAGACCACATACATTCACGCTAAACAGCCTGTGCCAAGCTTACTAACTGAGTTTACTAAATGAATTACTACTTCTCTGGCCTGAAACTACTTCATTTCACCTCACTCAGCAATATAACTGGGCAGAATTGACTGTAAAACATATATACTATGTGTATATGTGTGTATTTATATATTCAATACATAAAGATGACTGGACRGAGAGCCTGGCAGCATGTCAAGACTCAGTGAACTGCTGCATGTCTCATCTTGGGAATGCTATGTGCTATCTTCTATTAACAGTATTTCCCTGTATCTTTTACCTATGAAGAACTGGGTGCCAATGGAATTAAACTGAGTTAAAGGGACATGAATGAGGAAGTATATGAGGGGTGGGGGTAAAAAGGTGTTGGGCAGCAGTTGGTTATGACACCAGAGGGCAGCAGGCAAAGGGGCCGAAGAGAGTCCTGGCCATCAGAGGATGGAGGGAAGGCACAAATGTCTGTAATAAATGACATTATTCAAACCAGGGTTTGAGGAAAAGAATCAGGATCAGTTGACACGTCACCCAGAGTAGGTATGGAGGGTGCTTGTAGTATGTAGAGTCCATATCACACACGGATTAACTGTTACCTGACAAACAAGCCCATGCTGTGGCTATGACACTCTCTCTGCACTGTCTTCCTCCAGAGTAGCTCCTGCTTATGCTGAACCTGCTTTTTAGATGGCAAAAAAAAAATGCTGCAACCTGCTCTTTTATTGCAATTGATCTCAACACGCTGTTTGGAGTTTGGACTAACAGTTTTTCCCATATGCAACTTGAATCCTGAGAGCACTTCAGCTCGCTACAGATCAGTTCTGATGTCCGCTGAACCTCAAAGACCTTCACTCCAAAATCCAACCCTCTTCTCTGACTGCTTGCACTCTAATGTTCAGTTAGAACATTAATAGAATAGATCCTACTGTTTAGGATCTAGATAGAGGATTTAGGATCCTGTTCTAGGATCTAGAACATCCTAGAACACATCCTGCTGTTTGGCAGGCATACTTTGCTTTTAGCCACCAAAAATATACATTTTTTACCTGGGGAAAAAAAAAAAAAAAAAAACTTATGAAAAAATAATTCTAGATCTGAGGAGGATTTTTTACCGGTTTTCTTTTTCTTCTATGTATTCATGGTCACTAGCTTCAGGCATCTGCACGACATTGACACGCACAGGACGGGCACTTTGCAGGAGTCTTCGGACTTCCTGTACTCTCAAATCCTCGCTCCATATGAGCGACATCACCTCTTCATTCATGTCGTTCATGCCATCCTCATCCTCTTCCGATTCGGTTCCAGAGGGAGTATCAGAGGTCAGCACTTGGCCCACAGACTGAAAGGAAAAGAAAAAAGGCATCATTTCCAGAAGTACACACAGSAAGCATCAGAGAGGCAGCAAATACTTGCAGCACAACTGCAAAGCRCTCAGCAGTTCCCTACACTGAAGTTCAGCTGAAAATGGAATGGATTTCATGCTTTCATACCAATGTTCCTCAACATTTGAATCAACTGTCTTTGCACAGCTGAACGGGACACATCACTATCAAAGCAGGAGGAGATGACATTCCAGAGAAGGTGCAAAGGTTCTTGGGCAAGGACTGAAAAGTAGGAGCTTGAAGAGGTGAGTTCAGAAATCTTGTTCTTTCTAAACTAGCTCTTGCTTCATAGCTATAGAAGGAAACGACTTTCCTTCCTTGCCTACATAATTATCTYTGACTGCTAAAAGATTTCTCTCCAATTTCATGTATAAAATCCCGGTTTAGGTCTCTGTCTCACCTGCATCTCACTAGCAAGGGGCAGGACTAGCAAGAATGACAAGGTTGGGACTGGTCAGGATGCAACAGAGTTGGCTGCAATCTGCCTCTGCTGTACTTGCTCCAAACTCATCCGTCACTCTATTTGAAGCTGAACTTCAATTAATTTGTAAAAATTCTACAGAAATTAGCTCTCTGGCTGAATGTAGAATTTTCTTATTGCCTGACCAAACAACCTGGACATCGACCCTAAGGTGGACCAGCACATTCCTCTTCCTTCTCCATTCCACTTTTTCTCTGTTGTCATGGAAATAAATACTACGATTAATCTAGGAACAAAAGCATAGCAAAGCCTATAAACTGATTATTTTTCCCCAGAATGTTTTTCTCCTCAGAGTTTTGGCAGGCTGACATATACAAAATCAAACAGGCTAGCCACAACACAGGGTCTTCCCAAGCCTCACTGGTAACTGATACCRGGAATGCAAGTAAATTAACATCTGATGAAAGAAACCCAATTTTTTTTTTATGATAAATATGCACTAAATCTCAATACATAACTGCACCACCCACGTAGCCAGCGGCCRTTCTGAAACAGGAAACTCCACCCTGCCCCACTGAGAAATGACAAACAATTTGGCATTTGAAGATCACTTTATCCTTTTAAGGTAACACATATTTGAGGCATTGTTCTAAAGTAAGTGGGGAAATTGGATTTCTCATTGTTTAACAGTTAGCACTGTTACACGAAGGCAGAAAGTCCCCCCACTGAAAACAAATTGGATGTTTCATGAATGGTGCCAAAGGAGATTTGTACAAGTAGCTTGTTTACATTCCTTACAAACTATTTTTTAAAAAGTAACTTTTTTAAGAGGTAGTTAGTCATGAAGGCCTTGTTAAAAGAAAAAAAAAAACACAAGGCAAATTTTAAAATCACAAACTTGGCAAAGCTAAGATAGCATTTTAATGACCTTGACCAAGATGTACGTGAGGATGCAAGTCTCTTCTTCATCACTTCTGAAAAAACTGCAGACAATCTGCCTAACAGGAGCAGAGTTTTACACATGCCACTAGCCAGCTTCCAAGTAGAGCTTTGGCTGACCACACCATTAGTGACAAAAAACACCCAACTGAGAGGAGATGCCACATTCCCACTCTCAGAAGAGAAGGTTTAAGGGAAAACAACCTAAAACATCTTTTCTTTCTAAGGAGAGAAAGCTTTTCTCTCTTTACTTTGGGATACAAAGAACTAAATCCTTTTCAAGAAGTATGAAAACCAAGTACTCATAAAGCATATCAGTTCTTCCAGAGAGAAATCCTGGCCATGCCAACTCATAAGGGTACCAGACTGTCAAACACCCGCTTTCCTTTGCTGAACCATCACCTGTTTGATGGCAGTCTCTGTGTGGAGCACCAAAACCTCTTTAATACTTCTCAAAAATGGAGCTGTTCTGCAGGAGAGGACTTACACAGGCATTACTCCACAAGCAAGACTTTTGAGCACCACTCTTCAATGAAACCTGAAATCTAGTTTACATCAATAATCTTAGTGATAMTATGGGCAGCTACTCTTCTGTGCTGGATGCTCTTTTACACCGAAACGCTCACAGGGGCCTAGACCTGCTCTGTCTCTTGAATCCTGCACCTTCTGTACGTTGCAACCTCCACCCGTGAACATCTGCAGATGGTGGGGAAGTTTTTACACAGCTGGAGCGCTCTGCCCAGTACCCAGTGACAGGAAATCCATGTAGTGCCATACTCACAGATTTACCCTTCTGCAGGTTCCCTTCACACGCTTGTTTGGACAGATCCTGGCGGCCGATCAAGAGACAAACTGCTTCTGGCCAGTCTGAGGCAGGCTGCTCTCGGCAATAATAGATTGCATCCCTGATAGGAAGGGCCACACCGAAGGGCAGAGACTCCAGATCCCTCAAGGTGAAACCTTAAAATTGGGGAGGAAAGAAGAAAAACTTCTAACGATCAAAACGAGGCAAAATGTATGTCAGATTCTGCAAGCACAAGGCTATTATCTATGGTTGCTGCCATTCATGCATTGAAAAAGCTGCTCTTACCGACATTAGTCATCCAAATAACCAACTTTTCAGCCAGGTTAGAAGCAGATGTGTTCTGTCGGAAACTACACCTGTAAAATAACGGAGAATAAAGAAGAAGTTGATAAAAACTCATCAGAAACTCAGCAGAGAGTCATAAAAGTATAAAATGATAATGGAACAGCATTAAAAACATACCGACTGTCATCCTGCTCCATTTGCTGTTTTCGTTGTCCTAGGATAGACAAATAAGGCTGTTAGTCCCATGTTCTCCAAGCCAAATGACAGCATATAAAATACACACACACACAAGACACTGACAGTTATTGCAAGGGCACCATGTGCATTATTACCTGATGTAATTTTGTACAAATAATGTGAGGCTTCATTAGAGACAGCTCTCTCATCACCAAGTATGTACAGAGCCACGCTCTGAATAGGAAAGAAACATCATGATACGAAGTTATTTAGTCTGCAGATAACACGGTATTGCTTATCAAACCCAAAAGACACTTTATAGCAACTTAAGTAGTGGGACAGTAGGTCTATTATAAAAAAATGTAAAAACATAATTAGTAAATGCAGATTAAAAATAACAGAAGCAAGTAAATGAAACTCTTCTGCTTTAGATTTCTGTCCGTACATTCGTCAAAATAAATCTTGAAATAATTCAACAAGTTTTCCCCGATGATTGTTTCAAAGAAAAAATACACATATTTATATACAAACACATGCACTCTGAAAACATGTTCCCAGTGATTTCTGCTTCGTTTCCCACATTCCTTTGAATTCTTCTTGTTAAAACATACACCCATTTTCTACAAATGCATTTTTCATATACAGTCCCTCCACATTTTTAATGTCAGCTACTTCATGGTGGCTTTTCCCATTCAAAACGGGGTTCACTTCATCTAGCTATCGAACAAAGTCAAAGTTAGCTGTCACCATGTTTGCTTTTTGATCCTGCCAAACAAGCTGGCATGCCAAAGGCAAAAAGAAAGAATAGAATGACAATCTTTTAATTTCATGAAGGAATTTCTGTGCTGCTGCTTCAGCACTCCACACTTTCAAGCAGGGGACAGATTTGGCTCCTGGCCATACAGACCAACAACCAGTCCTGGACCCGTGGGTCACAGCAGAGTCTCTCTGGCCTGTTTGTCCTMCTCAGGCAGGTCAGTCCCAACATTTCTGCTTCAAATCCTGCACTGGCAAGTCTTCTCCACATATCTTTTGTGAATAAGGAAGCAAGACTGGCCAGAAAATACTATCAGCATTGACACTCATGCAATTAAATGCTTCTATTGGTACATGCTCAAAAAAAAAAAAAGCTGGGAAATTCTCACTCACAAAATACTGTTAGCTCTGAGTTACAGTATTACTTTGCACATGTCATTGCTGCAAACCACAAAAAAAAACATAAGCAGTGAAGCGTAGGCCTCACTCACCAGCACTTGCCAGCTCTCCTTCCCAACCTCAAATACCTCCTCCCACCTGCTAAAACCCATCCACACCCTGAAGTAATATCGATAACTAAGAGATTTCTCTTTGCTAAACACGTTATTCCCATTGTAGAGAGGCTGGCACCCCCAATTCCTTGTACTACAGAGCTACTCCAGAGAATTTCATGCAGATGGGCAAGGTTTATTCATGTGGAGCAGCAACATTCAGAGACTGTGTGCTCAGGTGTCCAAACAGTATGGCCAAAGTCACATCCTTTAGGGATATTATTTAATCACAGGCTCAGGACTGCTCCAATACAGCTACTAATCTGCCTCAGCATGTCCCCCTTCTCCACACAGGATAATTAAGCCCTTTGTTATTTGACTTTGCTCTCTGAGGACACTTCACTTGCAGGAAATTAAAAGCATGGAGGGTCAACTCCTGGTAGCATTGGTGCCACTGTGTCAGCAGCAAACAGTAAGCCCTTTGCCAAGTTACTTACCAGTACTACCAGTTTGCTCCTTTCACAGACCCCTGGTAAGTAAGGATAAGGCTGCACTCCTTCTCCCTTCAGACAGGAACTCAGCCACTGAAAGATACTTGGAGGCTCAGCAGAGAAAAATGAGGGATGGTGCATGAAACCTGTTTGGACTTAATCATATGAACAGTAATGACACTGAGCTCATGGCAAATGCACAAAACTTTTCAACTATTCCCAAAGCGAGGCCTACCGAATTTCTTTAACTTAAACAAAAATACAGTGTTTCCTCAAAAGATTACAGATCTCTCTCCCCTCCCTCCTGTTAGATAGAGGTTTATAAATGGACCATAATGAAAGCATGAAACATCTCTCTGCCTTTCGAGAACAAACATCTCAGCCCACAGTCAAGAGAAATATGCATAATTAGTACTTCTCAAAACCTCAGTGGAACAGTCCTGTAACAACATTCAATTGCTCAAGTGAGAGGACACTGTGACYATGATCTGTATCATCTGTCCACAAATGCAGGCAGGAAAGGCTGACCAAACCTATGAGATCATTTCTTTTGGTCAGGAGAGGCAGCAATTTGTCTTTTACCAACAAGTGGCTTTCAGCTGGCAAGTCAGTAAACAGATGCACAGGAAAATTCTACAAAATGCCCTTATTTTAGCTTTAGGGGTTGTTTCCTTTTAGCTCCCATTTAGCTCTCATCAAACACGAGCTGAGAGCCTGCTGGCCTGGAGATACTTGTGCACAGGAGAGATGCAACTTGTTTCCAGGTTTTTGCCCAGCTCTCTGCTGATGTTTAAGCCAACCCAAGGGGGAATCATCATTCCCACCCGGGTCCTGTTCTCAAGGGTCCCCGTGATGCACTGAACTGAAGGCACCAACCCATGACTGTGCAATCACAACAGTTTTCCAGTAAGAGGCTGTTAAAAACAAAGCAGCAAGGGAATCTCAACAGTGGGACTGCACTTTGGGCAACTGGGGATTCAGTCCTGACCAGCTTTAAAGAGAATGGTTACCAGCAAACACCTTTAGACCATTATCAGTTGTTCTTAGCTTTACATAGGCTTAAYCTCACCTTGATCAATCATGCAAGTCTGTGTGGAAGCCTTCACAAGGGCTGGATAGTCTCGGTAGTAATAATCTATATAAGCTTCAAGTTTTAAGTCTCTAGAATGAAACAGATATAAATCATATGAGAAGATCAAAAAAACCCCATATGTGCATTTCTGTGACTTTTCTTTATGTGTACGTAACACTTCCATACAACCTATATATGTGGAGTGAGGTTCAGACATGCTTATCTAAGAGGGTGCTTATGGGCACTGCTCCTTTCCTAAGTAACTAATTTGTATTTTTATTTTTTCCCCCGAGGGCAACTCTCTCCAGTTATTAGCTTGGTGTGCTAATACCCACAGAACAAGCTGTCCTGGGTCTCAATATTTCATTTCACTTCTCAATAGCTATAAGCTGTATACTGGGCCTCAGCATCACCACAGCTGTCAGTGTAYCCCTCCAGCTTGCCCAAGCCTAACACCACAAAAATATCCCAGTTTCTTGTTATGACCCAGATCTTACCAGAACACTGCTAGATGATGAGCTGTAGGTATTTTAAATCTCGTTAGAGAGCTACAGATCAAAAAATGTGTGAAATCATTAAATGCAGACACTGGAAACCAAGAATGTCTAAATTAATTCCAGTTTTATTTGCAGAGGGCTCTCCACACTCTGGTCTAGAAAGTTTAGTGCACTTTTCTGCAGTCTCCTCCTCTTGTGGCAGTCAGAGATGAGAGCCATCTACCAAGAACTAACATTTGTCCATCAACGCTGACTATGGGAAGCAGTAAGAGCTGTATAAGGGATTTGCTACAGCAAACATCACTAAGTATGGAAGTTTCTGAATATTCATTTTCTTCAAACACATGGAAAGACAGTTCCACTCTGAAGATAATCCACAARACCTCCGTAAAAACACTAGACCTCCATCATCAAGAGACGATGTGAATTTTCTGTGTTTTGTCAGACGTACCTGGCCAGCTGAACCAGAAGAACAACAAGTGAGCGAATTCCTTCTCCCATTAGACTGTTCAATTTAAGCTCCTCATATATTAGATGCAGAACAAAGAAAATAGCYGGAATGTGGGTGAAAAGGAGGGTTGAGGAATCCAAGCTAAGGCTCTGTGTWAAGTCATCCTTTGGAGGTGGAATTTCCAGAGGTTCCAGTCGCAACGCTTTGGCTACAGGATGAGACTCAAAATTCCTATGATAATCCGARTTCAAGAGATATTCCCAGTCCTAGACCAAAGAGGAAGAGGAGGCACAGGTTTCATGGTAAGCATTAACTGCCAGCRAGATAACTCTGAAGCACTTTTAGAAGAGGAGGAGATCCTGACCTATGTTTCATGCAGAGAGTGATCTGTAACCTCACAGGCTCAGTGAACTACCCATCCACAAAAAAATAACTGCATGATCGAGTCCTTTAGCTTGTAAGTCTCTTGGGTAAGATACCTTGGGATMATTCTAGGCTTTTCTCCTCGATGCAAAACCCATAAATCAGTGTGGAACACTCCACTAAATCCTGTAAGAATCAATGCACTCAGTGAGGTCTGTAATCTGATGCTCCTCGTGTGCTAAAGGTGCCAAGCAGTMAGGAGAGTGAGCCAACTTTATTTTAAAGGGATTAAGCATCCAGGAGAGATTTGACATTGTCAAGGAGACCATCTGGAGTTGCTGGGTAATTCACATTAGACTCATTCCTCAGAGCAACTTACTCCTCTGAAATTAAGGTCCTGACAAGAAAGGTCACACGATACTAACCACGGCAGAGGGCAACCTCACTTTTCTTCCTCCAAAGGCTTGTAATGTCAGATGACCTCAGATAAAAYGTGCCACTCAGACGACACTTCCTCTGGTTTGGTTATTTTATTAAACAAAAAGCAGATGCGTATTTATAAAGCAAATATTGCTTACCTCATCTGATCCTGTTTCTGAGGGCCTAGCCTTCTTCGGAGCAATAACTGGCGAGAGTGATCCCTCAAAATCAAGCTGCAAGAAACAAAAGACCAAAAACAACTCAATCCTTGAATCTGCACGGTTGTGTACCTGAATCAACAACAATCATAACATGTGAATTCACACCAAGCATTACATGTCACTGCATTAATATTTTTATATTCTGCCTTTATGCAAAACTTACATACARTTACATTTTTCCATTCACACTTAATTAGGCTAATGTATGGTGCACAGGTTTCATAGTTGTCTAACATCTGCTATTTACTAAGCTGGAAGAAATACTGTGGATAAGCTACTGCTAGTAAAAATTTAGGCATATTTTAATTGTTTTCATTGCTATCTACGTTATCTATGCTGTTTATTTTCTGCAACTACTGCAAACATTTGCTAGCAGGAAATTCACCCACAGAAAACTGCATGTACATTCAATAAAGCAGTGACAAAAACAGAGCTTTAAAAGCTGTAATCCAAAAACAATACAGGAAACCCTCTTTGGAAAACAGCAACCTGAAGTGGGACCTGCACTTCCAATCAATTAAGCTGAATAAGGATTAAAATCAAACTTTTAATGTTATGCTCTCAGTAATTAAATAGAATAAAATCTTCATCATTCATTTTTATTAGACCAAGACAGTTGGTGGTAAGCACAAAATAAATATATTTTTAATGACAAATATAGCTTAAATTATATACCTGAAATCTAAAAACATGGAACTGATTCCGTGGCATCTTGTTATTTAACAAAGATAACATACTATTTCTGACTTTGAATGTTTTTCTAAACATTATGAAACTTGAATAATTGTTRGCAGTATTAACGTAAGGTCAATAACAAACTAAAAAAAATAAAACYGAGGAGATTGCTTACATTTCGTGTCCAAGCCAATCTTTCTGTATTGTAACCCATCATATTCATGAGACAAGTTACAAATAAATTCCATTCCGAGTGATAACTTGGTCCTCCTGGAGCATTATAAGCATTGTACCACTTGACAAGCATCTGGACAGCTACCTCCTTGGGCAGGATAGATTTGAGCCCTTGCAGACATCTTTTCACTGATTGGAAAAAGGAAAAAAAAAGWGTGTTTTCCATTTTACTTCCAAGTATGACTCTTCCCATCAGTGTTGGAAATCTCGGCAGTTTTTGGACCTACATCCAGCTTTCTGGAAACTCTTTTTAAGACAAGCTACAGCACAAACTATATCAGCTGCTTATTTAGTTCAAGCTGAGCACAGTCCTTCTAATTCATCCCACAAAAGGACACACTTATTTTTCTTAGTGTTGCTCTTCTTTCACCTACACCTTATACCTACATAGAGAATATAATTTAAGCAAAACAAACAATTTAAAAATCCCACAGCTTAGTTCATTCGTGAACCCATCCTCTATCTGAACTGACATTTCAAACCTTGCTCAAGATACATTATATACAACACAGTGTAAAGACACAGTGCTACCTAAAGAACACAGGATATTTTGAAAATCCAACTGGTGAAGCACTAGGAAAGCACAATACACCTAAATAAGTAGTAGCAGTTCTAAACAGCAAGTGAATGGAGCTTGGAATATAAAATATTGAATCATTACAGTCTAAGCAATGACTAAAATACGACATTAAAAAAAGACCTCTCAAAAATCATGGAATGTATTTCATGGGATGGATGCTGCTCCATACCTAATTCTGAAGTGGCAATTTCAGGAATTGTAATCCGAACCATTGTGTTATTGCTGAGTTCCTAAAAAAAAGGAAAAGAAAGGTAAGCATTGAATCATAAAATACGTCTTCAAATCAAAACAGGTCTCCTTTCCATTGACTCGGGACTCATTTACACAGTGAGCTTATTCCTAACACTTGGCTCTTGCTCCACGAAAGACTTGCAACTCTGGATGCTAACGCTCTGAAACACTTACAATGGTTCTTGAACTGAATCACTTCAGTGAGTCAATTAAATGAATTCTAGGGTACTCTGCAGAGAAAAAAAAGTGGAGGCCCCAATGCAGGTGTGATATTTCACTGTGGCTCAGGAGCTGTCAACAATATGTCACTATCACACACGTCGCCTTCACGAATTAAGTCAATTTTGCTTTGATAACAAAGTAATGACTCAGCCTTACAGCAGAACACCTACCAAAGTCACTCTGTTGTGGACAGGATCTCTCAGTGCATGAATGAAAGTCCCAAGCTGCTGAAAAGTGCAGTCCTCAATGTAAGACGAGTCGTGAAGTTTGGCAGAATCCCTTAGCTCTGGAACTGGGGACAAAAGCACGCCCTGCAAAGTGACAGAATGATTGCAGTTGATGGTTAAGGTTATCTGAGCAAAGAGGGGGTAAAATAACCACTTTTAATGCCCTTGGCAGTATTTTGAAAAGAACTGTCTCTCAAACCTCTAAATCAGTCATTAATTAAAAAAGAAAAACACAAAAAATATGCAGGTTAATCCCTGTTTATTCAGGGGATGTACTGAAGAAGAAAGAGAAGTTTAGCTCAAGGAGGTACCACCAGATTTTTTTAAAAATCATTTGAAGAAGAAATGCCCATCTTTTAAATGCCAGGCAGACATTAAATAAACAGGTTCCTCAAGAGCATTTTAAATTTGCTCTATCAGCTATTCAAATATTTGGAGCCGTGCAAGGCTAGTTCTACCTCATGCCTAGCTTAGTCCTCAGCCTCCACACTGCACACTCATTCATCCTACTGTATCCCAACCTTGGATACATAACACATCCAAACTAAAACAGAGCAGTGGAGCAAGGGCCTTTGGTAGCCATGGATGGAGACTTTGGATATGCAGCATCAAAATRGAGGTGGAAAAGAAGAAAAAACACAGATTTTATTGAGCCATGGATAAGAAAAGTAGAGTCTTAAGGAGTCTTCACAACAGTGAAGCAAGGCTCAAAGTAACACACACTTTCTCTGGCAAAGACTCTCTCTCCATCAACATTTGTCCATCATTAAGCAATGAGAAGGGACCAGAGACCCCTCTACAAGACAGTCATGACATCTGCCTTCAGATTCCCTGCAGTTAAGAAATAGATACATCTCAGTGTTTGAAAGCTTCAGTATTTACTCCTAAAAGGAATACATTAGTGATTAATACATTCCTGCTACGACTGAGACAAATCTCTCTGCATAAAGTACCAGAATATGCATCAAATTTATAGTCACAAAAATATATTCTCCCACTTCCTTGGCAAGTTGCATCAAAGCTGTTACCTAAAACTAAATCCTTTTTAAAACAGGGTTTCCTTTCCTCACCTCTTCTAAAGGCCCCAGGTGTTTACCCAAAGGCTTGGATGGAGTGCTGATGCTATCCAAAGGGGTGCTTGGTCGAGGCATTTGGTTGGACATCGACAGGGATGGAACAGGTAGCCCGGGAATAAAAACCTTCCCCACCTTTTGGTGTAAAACATAAAGGAAAAGATATAGTTGATCTTCATGCRTTTTTCCAAGAGCCTGCTTACAGATAGAGACTCTCTGCTTTTAATCTCTTAAAGGAACTGTTTTAAGAAAAATGGCTATATGCTGAAATTTTGGAAGTTTCTAAAGATGAGATTAAGGATTTCCCAGCTTACTTCCTTTCTTAAGATGACAACACACTGAAAAAGTACCATATAGGTCAKTATTGTTACAGGCCTACCATCACTAGGAGTTCAGGTAGGGTTTCACTGAGAAAGCTCTATTTTCTAAGAGCAACTAAAACCAAACGAGAAGTACAAACTCCAGTGCCTGAGGCTCCTGTATACATAGAAAGAGCACAGAGCATCTCTCCACAATGAAAAGAAACTATATTCATTATTTGGAATTCATTGTGCCCACCTTAATAACAATCCTTTGTAAAGCAAATTTGACATCTGAAACTCTATGGCCTGTTACAGTGAAGCTTGAAAGCTTTTAATTTAGGAGATAACCTTACTTTCACTATTCTAGAAATTTTCCTTTCAAAAACACAACAAAAATCCTTTTATTACCTTAWAATAAGCTCCAGGAATTATTTAATTGTACCACAAGGTGCCAATGACCCTTCRGAACTATGTTTCCAGCATGCACACAAATTACACTTGATACAAAGGCATGACCATCTTCCTAAGTTAAGTCTCAAGTGAGAAGCATTCTACAGTAGCTTAAAATGAAACCTCATGAGATATGAAGCACACAGCATCCTGTCRCACTGCCAAGCTTGTAAGCAAAGTTTTAAACATTTATTTGGGGACAGAAAAATTGGGGGGGATATTCTGCTACTTACCCGAACCACTCCTGAATAAAGCACTAGATTTCCACTGCCTTCCAGAACCAGCAATGTATCAATGCCCTGCAATAATCAAGCAGTTTATTCAGGTCCTCGTKTTTAAGTAAAAACAAGACAATTAGATGACAAAAGTGACAAAGCAGAAAGACACTCCACAACAGACAGTCCATACAGCTGTACATACCTGCACTGGAGCTGCATCCTTTGCTTGAATATTGGTGACAGAACCAAAGATCAGCTGTGACTTATCGTTGCTCTCTTGAAATTTTACACAGCTAGAGATTTGAGAAAACAAGAGGAAATAATGTAAAAGGATATTCTTATGTCTGGTTTTATAGAAATAAAACAGAAAATTAAAGTTGTGCTGCATGTTGCAGTTACTTTTATTGGGGTTTAACCTCATTCCTTCCTCCCTTCCTTACTTGTTTTGCCCTGCTAATCAACTTATTTTTACTCTCGTAGTCTAATTAAAATCTTTAGTGCTTTTCTAGAGGGTAAAACTGATAAACAGAAATGCCATTCAAAGCACAGCAAATGCTGCCTTGCAATTTCAGTCCAAGCTGCCTAATCGCTAATGTGGTTATAAATACATCTTACAACAGTCAGATATCTCATGTTATGATTATAGATTCCATTAGCATGTTAAAGCCCAAATCTAGCCAGTRATTTTTAGAGTGTTCCCCCTTGTTCCCGAGACAAGCACGGGAATGCTCACCGCAGCTGGAGCTGGGATTCCACTAAAAAGCACAAGAACTTCTGCCCGCAGAGGTCAGTGGTAATAAACACTTTTGATGCTTGGGAATTCTTCTCTCTGTAAATAAGCCACAGTGATCAGCAGAGTATTTTGTCCGCTATTAAAGTGTTAAGGGAAGAAAACAATGTCCAGCAAACTGCTGGACCACACTGAACTTCAATTAGCAACTTCTGGCATCAAATGGTCGGAAAGTGCCACTGCCTGTGTCAGACAGTGCTCTAGGAACCAGTTTTCCAGCATGCCAGTCTCCATWCGCCCTACATTTTGGTGTGCACTTCACATGCTCAATGGTTTGATTCTCTAGTTAAATCCTAAGTGACCCACAGTCATCTTACTAGGACCTACAGTCGTATCTCCTTGCAGGCAGCTATGCCCTCTGCAAGAGGAATTACGTGCACAGCACACCAGGAGAGCTTGCTGCTTGATCTGCTACCATCAGCCATCTCAACTCACAGGCTGACATAAAACAATAGTTAAGGAACGTGAGCAAATACAAAATTACAGTAATTGTTCGACACACATCAAAAAAGGTCAGTCTAGCACAGAAGCAGGTGTGACTTTCCCTGGCCTCAAGCTGCATTTCGTTTTCTGACAATTAGAATAAGCTTTCTCCAGCAGACACAAAGAAAGAGGGGAATAATCCCTATTTATAGGGTGTTTCCCTGTCTCTTTCTGTTGGTCTAATGGAAACAGGAACTTAGCTCCAGATATACATATTAGCTCGGTCGGAAATAAGATAAAGTCCTTGCATGTGTTTCACTCCTGTTGATAGTGATGGAGAAAAAAGCACTAAAAGATTACCAAAAACATCAGGTTTGAATGCATTTTGCTTGAGGCATCTCATGAAGCTGCTCTCCAGCACAGACAGCCATGAGCCAGAGTCACASAATAGGCATAACCACTGCCTAATTCCCTTTTCAAAGCAGAGATAGGTGCTTTCTTAAAATAGATGGGTGGATTTGTCTTGTCAAAAAGATTGAAAGTACAAGTCCACCCATCTATTTTGGGAAAGCACCAATTGCAGAAAGCATATGTCAGAGCAGGCTGTCAATTTAATCTAATTTTTTTCCCCGGCAGAAATCCAGAACCTCTGAAATCCAAAACACAAGCACCTCACCTCATGCTTGTGACAGTTTCGGTCCACAGATGATCTATACACAGCTCTGGAACAATTGGTTCAGTTTCTGGGATGAGGAAGGAATCGTTGGAAGTGCTGTTTGGAGATTGGTTAACACTGTGTCTCTTCGGGGACTGGGCACTGCTGGAAAAGTTGAACCTCTGCACGCCTGAGAAAGAGTRCACTCCCAGCGCAGGGGAATGCGAGCGGCTGCAAACAAAGACATAAAACATCCCTGAAAAGTGGTTCAATAAAAGAACATAGACAATTCCTCATAAGCTTGGGAGCTAATACAGTGGCAGAGAATTTGAAAACAAAGCAACCCTCCCACCCAAACTTGAGACAGKAGCTAGTTCACTATTAGCTTTCTCCAGCAATATATCCTAGCATAGGAAAACAGTTCTCTAATTCACTTCTAAGCATCTCTGTGCAAATCCAATAGCTGGGATTGTAACAGGAGGAAAGCTAACATTTTAACTGTGTGGTCCATTCCGTTAAAAATGCACCCTCACCTGTTCTTTCTAAATACAACTTGTTTTAATAATACCAACTAAAAACTCTCCTGGGACTCTAATGACCTGCAGAAACTTCCCAGTTYCCCTCCTGACCGGCTGTGTGAGCACCCAACAGTGTCTCTGGCTCCTGCACACTAGTCACCCTTTTGCATGGCGGGGACAGCAGCACACATGGCTCACAAGAGCATCTCCAGGCAGGTGTGGATGCTGAGAGGCATGGGATACACACGGAAAAACAGAATGGTAAGAGCAGAGAAAACACAGCAACGCAAGGTGTGCTGCCTGATCTACAGCTTCTGTTCTTTGGGTGTTTTCTGCCTGCAAGGTACGTTCAGGGCTCACCTCAAAGCAGCCATGTTGGAGATGGATGGAGAGCGGGACTGCATGCTCGGCGACGACACGGATCTGCTCTGGCTGTGAATGGAGGAGTAGTTCTGGAAAGGGGAGGCCACGGGAGAGTCGCCTTTTGAGAGGCTCCTGAGATGAGCAGTCAAAGAGCTGCTGGTGGCCACGTGCTGCGGTGTGCCCATCTGCTCGGCGAACTTCAGCACTGTGTTCTGCTCCTGGGAGAGAAAACAGAGCGCTCGGTGCACAAACAGCATATGAGCAACAACACAGCCAGGAAGACACTCAAACAGCTCATTTCAACGAGCAGATACCACCTCTTCAGACCAAGCTGCTGCTAGAGGTGCTTAATCCTCTGCTCACGTTTTAGGCTACTTCAAATTAAGACTCCTCATTGAGCCCATGCAAACATGCCAGGGAGCAAAAATAGATCTTGGCACATGGCACCCATGAAGCATATGGAARAAGAGGTGGAATTATTCAAGCTATTTGCTTTTATACACACACATATATATAGGGAGTTACTCCTTCCAGCTGTGTTTTCCTACCCTCAGTCACAGAAATCACTCCTCCGGTTTGCAGGGCAGTAAGTTGTCATTGCTCTTCGTAGAGAAGAAAACCACTTAAGCAGAAACCAAACCTTCTGGTATCATGCAAGTACATCATGATAGGCAGAGCATCCTGTGTGACTGCCAGCACTGCTTAACTTASAGCCTTGTGTTTAGTATCAATAGCTGACTGGGAAACTTGGTCCTCYAACTGCAGTGCAGGCAAACATACAAACAATATGCTTTTTTTAACATCCTGTTACATGAAATAAATCAAAAATACCAGGCGTTTCAAGAGACACATGCATAAGGGCATATAAACACACTGAAGTGTTTCAATAATGACATTTAGGCAACAATAAGTTTGTACCTCTGGTTTTACTCTGCGTAGAGCCCATACAGTGTGTAAACTCTGAACAGTATCATACGTCATCATCATGGAAGGCTCAGCATTGAGGAACACAATCCTCATGGTGTAGTCAGCAACGTACTGCACTCTGGCAGAGCCAAACACACCTGAAAAAGACAGTGATCAGGTTCATTTCAATCAAGGCAAAAGGATCCTTTCTGCAGCAGTGCCTGCAGTTACACGGTTGGCTTTCTTCATATCCTCTTTCTTGTGTACCTTGGATTTCCTAGCATTCTCCTTGATTATGTGACATTGGAAATTATACTGAGCTTCACACATTAAGATCAAGTGTTAAGCATTTGGATACCAGAAGGCAAAAACTGATGTGCTGCGTTCACTTTTTAAAATAATTTCTTCAACAGAAGCTTCATGGGACTATCCACATATAAAATTCTCAAACAAAAACTCAGCAGACAGCCTGTTCCAGTACTATTGTACATGCTGCCTGCTGAATGGTATGGGCAAATCACCAAGCTCTCTAATGCCTCAGTTTAGCAATCTACCAAAGGAAGAGTGCAACTCAGCAAAAATCATTAATTAGATACTGATTACTTCACGAGAAACATATTTCTTAATACTCATCCCACAAACATCTAAACACAGATATACATATGTTAACTAAACACATATGGATATAATATCTATATTTGATTGCATAAATTTTGTCTTATGTTTACTGGGACTGCAGCTAGGTTGAAGACAAGAACCTCAGTTTGAACGCAAAGCATGTGAAACCTCCTTTCCCATTGTCTGAAGCAAAACATTTCACAAAGGTGCTTGTGCAGAGAGCTGGCCAAAATCCCTTGGGTCAGCTAACCACAAATCTGAATCACCGACCAGTCAAATATACAAACAACAAGTGTTGGATTTCAGAGCTTTTAGAATAGCTTGAAAACCGACTCGGCAGCACTACCATATATTCACCACAAAGACATGAAGGGAACAACCTGTTTTCTAGAGTTCTTAACTCTGTRCCCGGTAACATGCTGGAGCAACAGCACCATAGAGATAAACTTGCTCTTATTTGGATTTCTTGAATATCTTAAAAGAAAGAGCATCCTACTAGYAGATGAAGCGGCTAAAATAACCCATTTCTGAATTTGTGAAAGAGTGATTATTTGCAAGTTTCATAATACAGAAAATGCTTGTCTAATATATCAAGTATTTGATGCCATACTGAAGGATTCCAAGGGATGCATCTAAAGACTTAAACCTACCTCCAGACTTGCAGACAAGAGGTGTTACCTCATCTAATGGATGTAGCATGCTGAACATAGTAGGCAAAGGTTCTCTGGAATTAAAAAAAAAGAAAGTATGTTCAAAAATAAATTTTACAAAGCACAGTTCTCTCTTGTAGCTGGTACAACTCCTGCAATTCCAAAGCAGTTCCTCAGACCTTAAACAAAGTCAGAACGTGAAATGTAACACAGTGACATAAATCTCACTAATGGAAACTTGCTGGATTCACTAAGTCAACAGTAGTATCAGGATGACTTAGTCTTGGTTTGTGTCTCCTCACAACACTTGAGAATGATCCCACCTGCTGGCCACACAYGAGACTTTGGTTGGCCCACGTGAGCAGAGCTAGAACCGGCCAAGTTATGAGGACTCTCTGAGGCCTGGAAAAAGATGGTACAGCAGCAGGATGAGGAGAAAGCTCTTTTAACCCCAACTTAACTAAAGAGCTTGGGTTACACAGCTCCCTCAAGGGTTCCAGTCCAGCAGACACCCCCGAGATAATTTTTCATCTAACACAGGGTAGCAATCAAACCAACCACTGAAGGTGGCAGGAGCAAAAGGGTGGTTTTGTCTTACGAGGAAAGACCAAGTGAGCTGGGCCTGTTTAGCTTGGAGATGAGAAGACTGAGAGGGGATCTGATYGATATGTATAAATATCTGAGAGGAGAATGTAGGGAGGAAGGGGGAAAACGCTTCTTGGTGGTGGTCAGTGACAGGACAAGGGGTAATGGGTACTAGCTGAAACAAAGGAAGTTCCATCTGCACGTAAGGAGGAACTTCTTCACTGTGAGGGTGACAGAGCAGTGGAACAGGCTGCCCAGAGAGGTTGTGGAATCTCCTTCTTTGAAGATCTTCCAAACCCACCTGGATGCGACCAAGWGCCCYGTGCTCTGGGTGTCCYTGCTGGAGCAGGGTGGGTTGGACTAGGTGATCTCTAGAGATTCCTTCTACCCTCAACCTCAACTGTTCTGTGATTCATGGAAGGTGGTTAACTATACTCAGTCTGACAACTTTTGCAAGGCACCAGAGGGCAAGAAAGCCTGGAAAGGTTCAACTTTTCTCTTTACTAAACCACTAAGGGCTCCAGTGCAGACAGGTAACCAACTGCTACCCACCAACAATATAATCTGGATCAGCTGGTTGGCACATGGTGAGTCATGCCCAGGGGATCAGACCCCGTGGTTGTTAAYGGGACCAGAACACTTCACTATCTCAACTGACAGGACATGGAGAACACACCATACCCACACTGAACTGGTCATCCAAGATAACTTTTAAACTGGTCCCAGAATTTAAACAGGACATCTACTTCAGTTAGCCTGAGCAAAGATCTTTCAGGTGATGGCTTCTTGAACATTTTGAAGATTTCTATTTCTAACCTCGGCTTTCTAACCCCTCCAGTCTCCCCCAGACTGGAGAATCCCAGTGCCTAGAATGGACATAAAGCTCAAGAGAGGGAGCAGATATTCAAGCTGCTCATCAGCATACCAACCAACTCTTTATTCTGCCTCTCAGCTATACGTCCTGCCATGTAGCTCAGGGCCTATAACCCTCAAGTGGCGAAGATGGAGCAGCAGGGACAGCCAATATCAGGAAGGGATTTCATCTATCCAAAGCATTTTCAGCTGAGAAAAAAACATTTCTCCACAACAGCCCTTCAACGAATCTCCCAGTTCACCATTAAATTCACAGTCTGTAACTAAATCCCAGCACAAACCTTAAAGAGACTGGGTTAGTAATACCCTTCCTGCCTCCCAAGCACTGTTCCCAGGATCATCACTCCCAGCTAGTTCTTTAGACAACATAATATCAGACAGAGAGTTATGACTGTTAGCATACAGCCCTATCTTGCATGTTCATGTTGCTTCATCCAATTTCTAAGTTAATTTGGCCCTGAGAATCACACAGCTTTTCATTACTCCTCTTCAGCTCTTGCACTCATACATTAGATTAGCAGTGTACAATGCAACAGTCAAAAGCTCCTCGCTGCATACCTGGGTGGACTTGGAGGCATTTCATGTGAAGAACTGCTGCGCTCAAATAACAAGCCATATTTTGTTGGCCAGACATTTGCCACCTATAAAAATTAAAAACATATTYATTATTTTAAAAAATTAAGGGTTTRGTATATTGCATGCTTGAATATCTACCTATAGCAAAATGAGATGTTTAGGCCTTTTTTGACAGGCGTGTAATGTAAACTGAAAATAACTTATCACAGACTTGTCTGTGAACTTGCACAGAAATGACTGCAGCAGCTTAAGGCAATATRATCTCCATCTCACAGCCTGTTGCCATCCATAACTTAGCCAGCAGAATGAATCAGGTGAATATTCTTGATGTGCCAATTCTCATAGGTCCATCCTTTGGGCAAGCTTCTAATCCGCTATTTAATCAAAAAGCTTGCTTTGTAACCCATCATTAGAGAACCCTCAAAGTAACAGACATCAATATAACAAAACATTCTATGTAACACCACAGAGTTTTCATTCTTTTCCTTCAGGCTATAGGCAGGACTAGAATGAAATATTCTAACACCCAAAGTCACGCTTTAATCAGCTTTGTCACATGCAGTCACCAAGAACAGAGTTCATATATGCCTCCCCACCCCAACTAGAAAACGAGACTCTACTTGGGGAAATAAAATAAAATGAAATAAAATAAAATAAAATAAAATAAAATAAAATAAAATAAAATAAAATAAAATAAAATAAAATAAAATAAAATAAAATAAAATAAAATAAAATACGTACCTGAAAAGGTAAAGCAGCAATGTAATCCTTTCCCTCTACGCTATGCACATTTATACACGAGTTCTGCAATATGCAGATGCATTTCTCTACTATTTCATTGCTACCTGAAACTGCAGAAAGACACAGTTACATATCTTTGTTTCCTTACATATCTCATATATGCAAAATATAAACTTGTTTTAACGTAGCAGTTCTTGATGGCTAAACTTCTCAGGCCAAGCAAATACTCAAAGTATTCGCTCAGGTGAAGCAAGTGTAACACTTACCTTCAGATTTTTCAGATTTTTCCTGGGGTATAGTGAAGTCGCACCACAAGGCCTAAAGCCAAACACAACACAATCCATGAAGAACAATCTGATGAACTACATCTTCTGTATTTCATAAAATAACCCACCCTGAAGCTCCTATTGAAAACAGAGAGTATTCCCTAGCTAACGTGCATCCATTCAGCTGCTGCCTCCCCACATTTTCGTACCTGCAGGACCGGGCTGTCAACAGTGAAAGCCTTATAAACAGTAGAAGCTTGGTTTTTACTTCCTTTGCTCCAGATGACCATATTGCCGGCCACATACAGCTCTTCATCATAGTCCACTTCCTCCCCAACAGTGCTGATACCTTTCCTCAACTGCCAACTTTCCTGGGAAAAAAAACAACAGTTTTAAGAAAACAATGGGAAAAAAATAATAAGAAATGGGATTCTGATTGCTGATAATTTCTCAGTGGSTGTTTATAAGGGATTATTTTTAAAATAAACTGACCAAATGGAKATTTTTGGAAGCAAGAGAAAAGCAGAAGAAGGGGAAGGTGATGGATGAGGCAGACCAGGGGGCTCGTTCCCTGCCTGTGTCCCCAGTGCCCATCTGCAGTCCCCATATATATATATACACACATGTGTGTATATATATATATCCCGGTGCCCTTTAGCGGTCCCCATATATATATATTATATTTATATATAAATACAGAGGGGGGTGTATGGCCGGGTACCCTGCGCTTCTCGTGGATGGTGACCTCCTGCAGGGAGCCCACGAGGCCGGCGGCGCCGTCGGAGGCGCCGAGCTCGGAGGCGGGCTGCAGGCGCCGCAGCTGCAGGCTCAGGGCGTGCGGGTGGCGCTCGCAGTGCTGGCGGCCGCAAGGCGCGAACTCCTGCAGGTCGCCCGCCGCAATCATCCTCGCCCTCTCCTCACGCTTGCCCGACATGGGGGCCCGATATCAACATTATCTCCGCAGCGGGGACGAGGCGCGCGGCCCCCGCGCCGGCAGCGGCCCTGGCAGGGCCGAGGCGGCTCCGGCGGCGGCGGCGATGGCAGCGGCTCCCCTCACACGGGCGCGGCCATCTTGGCGCTCCCGCCAGCCCGCGCGGCGCCGCCATGACGACGCCCAGGGGGCCGGCAGGGAAATGGCGGGCGGGCCTTGCCTKGGACCTGCCTATTCCCGGGGGAAAAGGTGGAGCCTCGCTCCGAGCTTGAGGGGTTCCTGTTGGCCTTGGAGATACCTCTGTGCTTGAGGGCCCTAGAGATCGCCCTGCGGCAGTGTGCGGTACAGGCTGGGCAGAGGCGCCTAATTAAAGTGCTTTCCTCTCAGCATAAGCCCTTCACCTATCAACAGCAAAGGGAAAATCGTTTAAAAATGGGGAAACTGGGTTGCCTGGCACCCCCGATGACTTCTAATACCTTCTTGAAGAAGCGAAGCAGCTGTGGCTCATGAGGGGGTCCAGCTCGTGGCTGGCTGGGGCATAGGAGACGGAGGATAGGAGCAAGATGCTCCTATCCAGGGCAAAGAGAGCCAAGATAAACTACAGTGATGGATACAAGGAGTTAAAGTATCCCTGTTAACCTGAGTGCTCCCAAAGAAGGGAAGGATGGCACTTTAAAGACAAAATGCAACATACCTATAACATACCTGTATAAACCTATACAAAGGGCTGACAGGCCCTTCCAGAGCCCTGCTACCCTGCAGGCATCAACAGGCAGGTTGTGCAGTCCCATTCCCAAATTCCAGATGCTTAGGTGATCAGCACAGCTCCAGGGAAGTCAGAGCTCCCCTGACTTAYGCCAGCTGAAAAGCTCTTCTCTCCCCTGGGGTGCCAAAGGGGCTGCATTATCCACAGTCACTCCTGAATCCATGCAGAGGCAGCTTGCAACTTCTGGAAAAGCGAAGGCTGAGGATGCTGGAAGCTTCACAGCTGCACCTCTGTCCACCAGCACTAGGTGTCAGGCTGTTAGCGTGGCTTTCTGTATGAGAACAGATGATTTTCCCATGCTCCAAAGGAAYGGTGCACTTGCCTGCATTTATAAATAACCAGATGTCACCTCTGTGTAACTAGAGCGTTTTCATTTCCAACACCAAGTGGAAAAAATCAACAACCGAGTTCTGCCTTCATTGCTGTATCACTGGACAAGATGCAGAAATAGTTCTCTGGGATTTGGCGTGCACTTAGCTGCCAAAATCTAGTAGGCAAAATCAGATTATAGATATTCTGCTAAGAACAAGTTATATCTGTACAGTCATCACCATCCTGTGAGCACTGTAACAAATACAAGGAACTCTCCGTACCAAGCCAGCATGCCCAGAGGAAACAAGTCCAGCCTGTTGCATTTTCAATCATTTGTACTTTGTAATATGAGTTCCTCTCTTTRACTTCATAAATATGAGCTCCTCTCTAACTTTATAATTATTTATTACTATTTATATATTACTATTTATTATTACTATTTATAATAGCACACCTAAACAAGAGGGTGCCAGTGGCCACATGGCTACAGAAGCTCCATTCATATCAAAGTAGTGGAGCAGAGAAGAGTTTTTTCTTTTCCTTAGCACCTGTATGAAGTGTGAAGGGACTGAGAAAGGCACAGTCATTTATTTCTTTTTCAATTACAGACTCTTGGGTGCTGCATTTGTTTAAGRGGCAATAATCAAAAGAGAAAGAACAAAACATTTAAGAAATATCCTGTCATGAACTGGAAGATATCAGTTTGACATGAGAAATCAAAAGCAGGAGAAGCTGAGGAAGCGTTGAAAGCATGTTTGAGCCTATAAGTCAAACAAGTGGTTTTGAGAATCCTTAGTTCAAGTCATGACAATAACCAGAATCATTTTCTCAGAACCGAGAAGCCTGCTGGGGAAAACCAGGCTGAGCAGAAGTGGTAAGAGTTCACCAGCCTGCAAAGTGCTTTCAAATTGTGTCATGACTTCTGRCACGAAGAGAGCCAGAAGAAATGGCAGTCTGGATCTCCAAACAACCCAGTTTCCATATGGAGGCAGATGGGAGTGTCTGCACCGATACACATGTGAAATACAAGCAGCAATTTGGTGGGCATGGAAGAATGTACAGGACTCAAAGCTAAGAAAGCTTTAGCCAGCATCCAGCCTTTGGAGAGGGCTTCTGCTTTTGCAAAGCTATCTGCAGAGCAGGAGAAATTATCATCAGAAGAAACAACCCAAACAAGGGACAGAATGTGCCCAGTTAAGAGACAYAGCATGCACAATGTGCCCGAAGAAAGCACGAAAAAAACGACTATTTTAGTAGCAGGAAAATACATTTAGTTTTCACCATGTAATTTGCTCAAGAGCTGCATCCTGTGACTAGGATACAATATTTAACACAAACTAGGTATCTACCTTGAGCTAAAAATACATTGCTAAAATAGCTTGCTATTTAAAAGAACAGAAGTTCCTGTAAATAGAAAGCAAAACAAAACAAAAAAGAACTCATATAAGAGGAAGCAGAATAAAAAAAGGAAAGAAGAGATTTAACAAAAGGAAAATGAAAATACAGAAATAGTAAGTGGTAAAAGCAGATAACATCTCATAACCCAATTACTATGAGTTGCATTTCTGCTAAATGATCTGGTTTCATACATGGCACATTGATTCCAAAGTCTCTGAATGGTCTGGTGAAGAAGTGTTGTCGATGCTGTGAAATGAAATTGCACTAAGACTGAAACATCAAATTCTGGCACCACTTGGGTGAACTCATATAATATTTGCTGAGGTACAGATTAGAAGCAACCTGGTAAGCCCCATGGAGCTCTTGATGTTACCGAGTGGGGATGAAGCAGCAGGAGGCCTATGATGATAGAGATCTGTGTCTTTGCACCCACAAGCAGGACTCTGCATGTGTGTATGTGTTCATTTCTGTGCATATTTATACAAACACAGTAGCAARTTTAGACTCAAGGGACACTGGCCCCTTTTCAGTAAGTCCTGGACATGTCATGTAGACAAGACAGTCTTTGTGTTGGGTGAAACAGARACTCAGAAACCACTGTTGTCTGTACAGGTTTATAGACACCCCCCCCTTCTTTGGAGACCGTACTCACCAGTGTGGTCTGTGCTGTACTCTATTACCTGGAGAGCTGCAAGCACAACTGGTTCAGCTGGTTCAGAAGCATATCTGGGCACTCAGACAAGTCAGGCAGCTTTGCTTTTCTTCTCTGATGAACAAAAATTCTCCCTTTAATTCAGTCCCTTTGATAGCAGTAGTTTATTTTCCTCTTCCACTTCCCAGGAAGGGCTGTGAGGTGTTTTTCAGAGACTGTTGGCTGCTTCCCAGCCCTAAAAGGAAAGGCCACTGGAGACAGTTAGAACAAGAGATGATATTGGAGGTCTTGTGAGTTTGACAACACGGTTACTTTGAGATCCCAAACTTTCCCTGCTTGAGTGCAGCTTCCTGGCATATATTGAGTTTGGGCTCTGGAACATGGAAATGCTTCATCTTCTCCTGGCCTTGGAGATAAGGCCATCTAATCTAAAACAATTAATTGCCCAGAGCTCTGCTCTCAGAAACGACCTGAGAAAACCCAGATCATTCTGAACAAACATTTAATGCAGGTGCTCCGCTATCTTCCCATGATACCTGTAGGAATCAGGCTACAGAAGTGGTCAGACATTCCCAGGGCAGCCCTTGCTGGCTGGCTGGCTGCTTCCCTTTTGTATAATGGTCTCAGTGTGAGACTGTTTCTTCTGGTCCCTGCTGGTTCCTCTGTCTTCATGCACTAGCTGTCATATTCATGTCAAGCTGTGCCCAAAGGAACCGAAATCTTACTGAGCACCAGCACCAGACACCAGTTTGCACCAGTGCTGGTAGAAACCAACCTACTGTAAATAAGCGACCCCTATTAAGGGATTTTTAAGAGCTGTTAAAATCCTCTTTAGGTGCACAAGTGTTTTCTTTGTTTGTTTGTCTTTCCTCTTTTGTTTTGTAAAAATTGCCTCGTTTTCCCCTCCCTAATTGAAATACATGTTAGCAGGGTCAGTTACATGATGTGGTCCCTAAGGGAGGGACCCTCCACTCCATGGAGTTTCCACTCCATTCCCACAACARCGCTTCTGTCGCCTTCTTCCCAAATAGCACCAAGTCAGGAGCAATGCGAAGCCTACCCAGATGAAGGAGGACCCCCAAATGACAGGCTCATATTTTGATTTCCAAGAGCCAGCCCGAAAAGACGTCAGGACAAATTCCTCTTCTTTGGTCTCCTCTTTATTCTTGAGTGACATTAAATCCATGGGGAATTCACTGAAAATACATAGGAAAACGAACACTGCTGAGCTTGCAGGGAAGACTTTAACACCGTCCAAGATGTTTAGTCTTCTTGCAGCAGCTGCAATGCATTATTTTCTTCTCCCCTTTAATCTGGGCCTCCAGTGACATGCGCCCTTTCGTAGCTGCTGATCACTTCAAGATGTTAGAGGCTGCTCTGGAGTGGAAGAGGCTGCGAAGGGGAAATTCAATCTCTGTCACCAGGGCTGGAGACTACGCAACGAACAAGCAGCTTTGCAAATCAGACAAGTCTGGAAATGATTTGTTCTTTTTTCACTGAACTTAGACATTTTTGCTTCCCAACTGGAATAGATTTCAGGCTAGATGTCATACAGTTCTTTTGTTTCTAGTAGCCTGAGAAATGTACTACCCTTCCTAGCTCTCATTATAAATTACACACAAATAGAAATAAGCAGCACCAACACAGAGCTGTCTTTTCACTACCTATTTCCATGATGTGCTGATGCTTTTTTYAGTTGGAAGCGAGCAAAATACACATGTCTTCTAATAACGTCATTCTTCTACAAAGCTATGAGAAGACTGTGGAGCCCCTGGAAGAAAATTACAATTGTATAATAGCTTCAGATAACTATGTACAGAGAACAGATTTCAGCAGAAAAATATAGAGAGTCTAGTCAAGTATGAACCTGTCAAG